ACTATAATCTGGAGGATGTCTATCTTATAGATGCTTTTTGCTAATTCTTAAGAGTTGCGAATCTGGAGCTTATAGCTTTAGTTTTTGACTATGGTGTAGATGCTAATGTGGTGGGGTTGAGTGGCGCGATATCCTTTTTAGTGTCCTGTGGGAGCTGGTTGACTTATTTGTTATTTACACTGGCGGCTATGTAACTCCTGCTTGATTGCGGAGTGGATATTTATAGTTAAGTTTAATATAGTAAGATAGTTTTCTTTTATGTTATTGGAAGTGACTAGGGTATATATGCTTATTATAAGTCTGTAGTTGATGAATAGGACCCTATAGGCATGTTGTTGTATATACTAGGAAATACATGTTGTAAGGACTAGCGTATTGCTTTTCCCTTGAGAAAATATCTATGTGTTAACTAGAGAAAATGACATGAATCTGTAGTGTATTAATGGGCTAGATAAAGAGAACCTGCAGTGCTAAAACTCCTCCTTGATGAAGGTGCTAATGTCAATGCAACCAACGAAAACGGAGAGATGGCCATGATGAGACTTGCTGCCTATGGAAATAATAACGAATTTATGAAACTGTTAGTAGGAGCAGGTGGCAATGTAAACGCCGTCGATAAACGGGGCCAGACAGTTCTCCATTACCTTGTATTGATTGTTGTGGCTATGTATCTCCCTTACGATTTACTTGTGAAAGATATGTCCTTGACTCTTGAGTTTTTGGTGCAACATTGTGTAGATTCCTCTGTTGTTGATGAGGATGGGAATAGGGTTGTAGATATACTTCTTTGGCTCCCTTGTTACTTGAAGGATTGGCTGGGACCTAACTTGGCGAGTTTCTTTGGCCTACATGAGACTTATTGAGTATGTAGCGAATGCTCTTGAAGAGTCCCGGGGTTATAAAGGTAAAACCACTCGTCTTGACTGCATCTTTGTCTGGTGATGTGTTTGCAATGATGATTGTTCGGATGCTTTGGGCTAGTGTGGCCATGGATAGCTTAAAAGAGGTCGCATTTGTAGGACTTTACGAGGTCGGCCCGCGGCTATCATAGAGCACAGACGGTACAAACCAGCTCGCCCAAGGCCCAAAATGCATTGTAAAATCTTAAGAAATGGGTAACTAGCAGCTATATTAAAGACAAGAAGATACTCCTAAAGTAGGGTACAGGGACACGCCACAAGAGTAGTAAAAAGAGGGCATGATCGAACAAGCCTGCAAAGCTACTTAAGTGCCTAAATCTAAATATATGTGATAAAAAGATATATAACAAGGTAGTTAGAATAGAATAGCCTATATAACCAGGCTAGACATAAATCAGGGCAAGAACGGCCCTTCTCTAGCTTAAAATCTATCCTAGCTCCAATTCTGTCCCGGTGACTTTAATGCTAGCTTTTCGGAGGGCTTTTACGATTCCCTGGCCAATATTTCCTAGGCCCAGATAACCACTTGAGAGGAATAAAAGCGGAACTCCGCTGCTCGTTTGTAATCCTTCCCTTACAAACATGCCTCTACGGGAATATTTGATTTATAATCCCGTCCGCTGTGCCGCCACGTGGAGCGTTCCTACTTCATAATGAACAAGATATTCTTTAAATCGGACGTTAGAAGGTCGGAGAACGTCAAGATTCTCTCCGCTTTACCAGGAGCAGTCAAAGCTGACCTCGACTCTGGCGCGTCTTGTCAGAGGTCCTCTACTCTCCGGAGAGATACATATTACCGGTTTTTCCTTGGTGATTGGTTTCCTACGATAGAGAGCAGAGGCTTCATCGCCAGAGAAGGAATAACGGAGGGCTGATAATGACGGGTAGATAGCCACTGATAGACAGTGCCGCGTCGCCCTCCGACATGGGCAGGGTAGGGCATATTGGGACAGATCGACGTTACGGGACGTCGCACGAAGTAGTCCTTGGATTTTATTGGCCTCTGATGCATTTACTAGTACTCCCCAAGACCAGTCTGCATGGGGAGATTGGTTCTAGGCTTGGCATCGCAGTCATCATAACCAAGGCAAACATCATACTATTTACCATTCAGCAGTGGGCTCCAGTCGATAGAGCTCCGTTTCGTGAACCGCGATATGATAGTGGGACATCTACCCTCCTACCGCTACACAGCTCGCGCTTAGCCCATTACTATGTAAGGGCGCTGTGGGCCCCCAAACGGCTAAATGGAGCCCACAGAGCTGATTTTCATCGTAAGAGGGAGGCAGAGTATCGTCGGTTCTAAGAAAGAAATGTATTTACGGCTGTCTCCGATAAGTGTTGTTGATAATTGAAGCCCCTTGTTACTTCACAGATTCGACTTCTCGCTTACTTCTCGTGTGACTCCTCTCTTTTGCTTGTTGAAGTATTAACCTCAACCGAAATCGGATCTAAGCGCTGGGATATCTAATCCTCCGTAACGTGCCAACATATAGAAGAAGCTGAGTTTACGTACGACGTAACAATATACTGGGACCTCAAAGCAGTATATGATCCTAGGACGATGGCGGGATATTTGTCATGCCTCCGGTAGGCGGAGATCGTGAGCTAAACCCATTCAGCCCCGTCTTCACATGACTGGCTAAGCGCAGGATAACTTGAGGTCCCGGAGAGTCTTAGTCCTCTCCTCCAGGTGCCAGACTCACCAAAGGGCCGATTTCGTTGTCAAGTGGGTCCGGGAGGAACTCGAATATCCCCTGACTGCGGAAAATGCCCAAGCCCGGATAGCGGGACGTCGATCCCCCCCGCCGCTAAGGCGGATTAAGGCTCCGTGGTCCAAACTCCCGCGCTTGCCGTTGGCCTGATGGACAATACCCCTGGCAAATCCATGAGCACATAGCGAATCAAGCATATCAATAAGAAAATCTCCGGTGGGTGATACCGAGGTATCGTTGGTGGTAAAGTTGACGTGTCCTCCACTCATTTCCTTGTGCTGCAAGTACAAAATTGCTCTTGGGATATGATCATCGACCGTTCTCTAAGAACTAAGCCACCAACTACTATAAAGAAGAAAATGGCAAAGGACATCAAGTCAACGTGTAATCCCATTGATATCATCACCCTACGCTCAGAATTACCAAACTCAGCCCGGTCGGACGCACAAGCAGCAGGGTGGCTCGCAGGACACAAATCTTAAGCTAGCGGTGCCGCGATATCCGAGGTTGGAACTTTCCTTTTTCGCCTTTGCTTCGTCTTTGTACGAAGCGCGAAGCATTTCCTTAAATGTGAGGACGACACAAAAGGAGCTTAGGCCCAGCCAGGGACCAGACGGATATTGTCCGAGCACTGCGTTAGCGCCTTGGCAGTATTATGATAGGCACTGGTGCAGATCGTCTTGCAGGCGCGGCACCCTGGTGGTGACGAGCCCCCACGGTTGAAACGAAAGAAGAAGAAGGAAAAAAAAAAAAAAAAAAAAAAAAAAAAAAAAAGTAGTAGCAATACAAAAGACAGTGATCAACGAAAGTATAAGTTAAGGTCATCAACTTCTCCATCGGTTTCTCCATCACCTGTCGTTCCCATTGCTCCGGCATTCGTCGCTCCTTTCACTGGCCTACGCACAGGCTCTTCACACTCGTTTTATCGGCCGCGTTTTCGCGCCAAGTTCCATCATGTTTCCTTTGATTTACGGTAGTGTTTTTCTTCTCTCCATCAGCTTGGTTCGCGGTGCCTCTATCGATTACTCTAGTCACAGACATGGCCACGAGCTCAACGTCGTAAAAAGACACGATCCATTGAGTTGCCTCAAACCGGAGTTGATTCAGGATTCCAGTGCCGTCACGGGTCAGGAGCCTGGAACGGAAGGAATCGGACCAGGCCAGACTCCCTCCGCAACTGACAAGAACAACTTCATCAACTTTTGCGATGGCCAGGAACTCACCAACGGCAAGCACATCACTACGGGGTCGTGTAACGGAATCCCAATGGGTAAACTCCCCGCGGCCACAAACATGATCTCGGCGATGATCACGAACCCCAAGCATGCTGCCCGAATCCCAGCCGAAACCACGTTCAATGTGTCCATCCAGACAATTCACCTCGGCGTAGGCCACTTCGTTAACCCAATGACGAACTACTACACGGCTCCACAGGACCTTAACGAAAATGGAGATATCATTGGCCACTGCCACATCACGATTCAAGACATCGGCTCGTTGGACTCGATCATTCCTCCCGATCCCACAAAATTTGCGTTCTTTGCTGGAATACTCGACAAGGGGGATGGCAATGGGCTTCTACAGGCAACAGTAGAAGGTGGATTGCCTCCCGGTGCATACCGCGTATGTACGATGATCGCCGCCCAGAACCACCAACCCGTCGCCATGCCGGTGCCTCAGCGTGGCGCTCAAGACGACTGCACTAAGTTTGAAGTTGCGGGCTATCCTAGAGAAGGGCTGGAGGAGCTCTTGGAACTAGGGAGAAAAACGATTGGGAAATTATGTCAGAGTGAATAGAGTCGGTGCCTGGGTACGGGTGCGGGTGTGGGAGAGAGTCGACAAAGCCGGTGGTCCTGGAATCCAGCTGTCACGGCAAGAGAACGGAAGCTACATAAGAGGGCGGTAAAATTACTATGCAGTCATCTAATTCTCAGACGGGCCTTTCTTTTTCTTCTTCATCATCATCATATTAGCAAATTCGAGGATGCTTCCTGATTTTACAGTGGGACACAGCTGGGGCCCTCCAATCTACACCACCTGCACTCCGACCAACCTATCGCCCCTGCCTAATCCGAAGGGAAGGGCTGCCCATAAACACTAGATGCCCTACATTTATTGCCATTGTTGTCTGAGAATAGCTCGGGGTTTGTATACACTTTGCTCCTGCACATGATCATGAGAAAATGAAGAAGACATCGATACTACCTAAGCATAACGCCAACCCGAATCCAAGAGGAGCCTTTACACGTCGCGGTGGTATGAAAATGCCGCTATCCGGCTCCGCGAGGGCGCAAACTCAAGACTCAACAGGACAATCAAGCAGCTTGTTCAATTTCTGTGTCGTTGGATAGCTGCATAGTAAACTTCATGCACTGGGTTTGCTGGCTGCGTCGCGAGCCCACTCCCTATTCTCGCGTCGTAACTCGATCTTTACGTACCAGATCGTGATAAGAGTCCATACGCCGGCCCATACGAACGGGACGGACCAGCCGATTGCATAAGCATAGTCCACCTCCACGGTGAAGATGAGAATAGTACATAGCACCGCCATTCCTTCGGCCCCAACTGCCCAGAATATACCGAGCCGACGAAGCATGGTTCGGAAGACGTGGCTCGCCTCGTAGCGACGATCAAGAGCCTCGCGGAAGGCGGTTCCCCCACCACCGTCGACCGCACATATATCCTCAACGAGACTGTAGATCCCAGGCCTCAGTTGTGCCCCCCCTGGTATCGAGGATATCCTGACTGGTGCGGGTAAATGGAAAAATCGCATGGTGTCGACGATGAGAAGCTCTGTGCCGAAGACGAAAAGCATTGTTGTAGGAGCCATGGCGATGAGGCGAATGTATGGGTTCTCCTGGACGCTACCACTGTCGAGGTTGTTAGCAAGTCAAGAGATACACCAGGCAGTTATTCTTACACGATAAGCTCAACCATGACGATGAGCCAGGCAAGCGTAAAATTCCAGTGGAACCAGTCCAAGTGCCATCTGCCCCCAGCAATAACCCGGCAGTCACTATCCTTCTTCCAGAGACTCCACATCCTCAGGAAATACTCGAGAATACTGGCGCCGCCAATGGCGGCCGTAACGATTGAGAACACGGCGTTAGCGGATAGTTTCCGCCTCTCTTTCGGCGCACCGGGACCGACGCCGTACCAAAGGCCGAAGTAGAGCCCAATTGGCATCGCCACCGAGTCAATAATGATGACCGTCCACCACAAAAATATTGATAGCTTTCGCGTGCGTAAGGTGTAGTTAAGCCGCGGCGGCTCCGCCAAAAATGCCGTTTCCCGAGCGACGGAATCTAAATCGGTTGCCGGTTCTTGTACCACAAGAGCGGCATCCCGCGCCGAACGACTCGTCGACGGTCGATTCTGGGATTGCGACCTCCTGAGGGTGTCTCCCGTCACGTTTTTTACGGGCCTCGCGAAAGGACCGTCGTAACGTCTATCGAACTCCTCGCTCGGCCGGACCGGTAACTCCCCAGACCTTCGTTTTCCTTCTGATCTGCGTCCTGGAGCAGACGCAAAAGCAACCGAATGCGTGGTTCCCTCCCCGGTCGATGTTTCAATCGTCGATGGCATGCCATCCCGTTTTATTGTCAAGCATCGTCCACGGGGCAAATCTCGCTCGCAATTTTGCTCAGAGGCGTACTCATCGTTCTCTCTGGGTTCTTGGGCGGTCTCTAGACCCCCGTCCGTCGATTCATTCGGTTTTTCATCGTTATCAATTGTCCAACTTTGTTGTCGCTGCGTCATTGATGGGATGCGTTGTCGATGTTTCAAAACGGGGGTCTAACTTCTCAGTTCCCTACCAATGTTTGGCTCATTCGTACTTGAAGTAGAAAACCGAGATTGAGAAGAGCTGGCATGGGGTGTAGGCGAAAGCAACCCAATGCAGTGGTGAGGAAAGAAAAGAAAGAAGGGTGATCAACAACGTGATTCGACTTTTTAACTATCCTGGGAAAGGCCGACCTTATTTTTGCCATCGCCATCATTCTCATTGGCTACCTTAAATCTCCGGTTTGCCTCATTTTGCGAGAGTGGCAATTATGAGACCACTCCCTTCGTTCCTCTCCGAGACCTCATTTGCTGTCAACACGTTGTGGAAAGTTTGACGACCGGGCGTAGGACGGAACGCGAATGCGACCCATAAAAATCGTCAGCAGTTGGTCAAGGACGCTGGAGAATGCCGAGGTAACGTGCTGTGAGGGAATCTTCTGGGTCTGATTATCCCTTTCGATCTTGGTTCAGTGCACTACTAAACTAGTAAGTTTATGTGAATGTTTCGCAAGGGAAGGACAAGAATCGCCACCAAGTGTCGAGGCCTTCAAAAATTTTGAAACCAGGCCTGTAAATGCGCATTGGACTTGGTTTCATCATGCCATACCCCTTAACTACTGAGTAGTAATCTAGTTTAGAAAGCGGCCTTGTTAAGCTCATGTTTCCCCTTTCTTTGCAGGATTTAGACCTAAGAGGCTACGAACTGCCATCTTTATCTTCAAATTAACTTTCCGGCAATCCTTAGGTTATGTGCTCGATTTAGTCATGAGATAACTAGGTTTAAAGCTACTCCTCCTTGAACACAACGGTCTCGTGGTGATGACGTAGGCGCACGTGTTCTACCTCTTGTGCCTTCTTTTTGGGAATTATAATCTACGCGTTATTCTCTTTTTTTTTTTCTTTTATTGTGGCAAGCAGAGGAGCCGCGACAAAAATTCGGGGACAAGGAGTAATCCGACCAGGGTGTCGTGGCACCCACGACACCGGGCATGCCGGAGCTATTGCCTTGAGAAACAGATTTCATCCCCGGAGCCGGGGTATGACATGTCTTTGCGAGGAAGTGTCCGTTGTGTCCGATAGACCTCCATCTTGACAGGGTAGATCGCGATACCCTTTTGTCATTGCGATAGTTAGTATTCCTTCGAGTGCTTGTTCGTATCCTAGTACCCAAATAATCCCAGCCGCATTCCCGCATATGTACTCTCCCACTCGTGATATATTTTCTTGTGATGATGGGGGAAGAGATGCTTTTGTTCCACAACTTTGAGTCGCAAGCGTGATGGAAGCCAAATCGAGATGGGCAAGGGACCAAGGGTCCTGCAGGAAGTGATGGGGGCCATTCAAGGGCAGTGTTGTCCAGGAGCCAGGTCAAAATCACCCATCAACTCCATACCAAGGATAGATGCGGACACATCGTTTTCAGGGCAACAATGCAAAAAAATTCCGGTCGAGCGGCTGCTACCTATTAAAATGTTGAGATACCACAAAACCTTGTCAGAGGTCAGCTATTATGCAGGACACCGCTCATTCCAAATTCCACGACAAGATCGAGAATTTAGCAAGTTATCTTACAAAAATTCAGGATACCTCGGCAACACGCCTGAGGCACGCACAATATTCTGGAGCTGAGTGAGTCTAAGGGAAGTATGGATCTCAACATAAGGGACGAGATACCTTGCAGAGCATTGTACGGTTGATCTAATCACTTCCTTCAAAGTCTGAAGTCCAGGCCCAAGGCCATGATCTTTCCTAGAGTGAACAAGAGGATTGATAAACGTCACAGTATCGGACTCCTGAAGGCTCTATGAGGCACTCGAGTGGAGCGTTCGTTAGAGTTGTGGACTGAACGAGTTAACCTTGGCCGATGTGGCTGAGAAGATGTCGACTTGAGGCGCCGGCTGGACGCAGGAAGCGCTTGATTTTCAGCTTCAGAGATGGGATCGGGGACCCGGAAACAGAAGGAGTACGGAATACCAAGTTTTGCTCCTTAAACTATCCACCTATTCGGCACGAAGGAATTTAAAACGAACGAGATGGGGTTTACATTAAAGCCCATTGCACACACACACTGGCGGTTCGGGTCAGGGCCCACGCTCTTGGGGACATGGATTCCGAGAAGCTCGGGAGACATTAACTCACAAGGGAGTAAGCTGTGCATAGGAGATAAAGTAAAATTTGTGGAACGGTACTCGCTTTTGTAGAGTCGAGAAATAACGGACACTCAAACGAACGGACCTGAGCTTGGGCCTTGGGGGCTTTCAACAGCATGATTTATCCAAATCAAGAAATCATCAATGTCCGAGTGTGAACCAATATATGCAATATACGCATCTGGTCGGACCAACACAAACCCAGGCTCTTCAAAACCGTAAACCTTGTGCAACTTTCCATCTACATCCATCATCGCAGAAGGATGCGGCGGAGTAGATTCGTAGACCTCGTGGGCCTCTGGTACGTCAAGAGCTTTGCCTTCCAAGGATTCCTTTAGCCGTGTCGCACATGACTCCATGCCTTCGGTGCCGAGAGCTTGGGCGCCGCGGCCCGAGAACAGCAGAAAATGGAACTTGTTTCCTGCGCAGGTCTCTAAAAGGAACTTCGTTACCCCATCAGGCATCCTGATTTTGCCATCCGGGGCCCTGTCGCCTCCCTTCAACTGCCCCATGAAATGCGGCGATGTCCCAACTATTGAACTTTGTCGATATCGGATACCCAGTTCCGAGATAAACCTGAATAGCCGGGCCCGAAGTTTCCTGCGAGACAGCGCCCACGGCATGATCCAGGTCAGCAAGAAATTTCGCCACCAGATCCAGAGGGTATTTGTAGACGACGCGTAGCTGAAGAGCCGGTCTGTTCCTTCCAGCAGGTGCTGCCCGACACGATGTCTCTCCTCGTTGTAGCTATCCAACCACGTTTCCATCACCGTACCACCGGCCTTGTGCACCCTCAACGTGTGAGCCAGCTTCCAACCCAAATTTATCGCATCCTGTATACCCGTATTCATCCCCTGGCCACCTGCCGGGCTGTGGATGTGCGCTGCATCCCCAGCTACGAAGCACCTTCCTTTGCGGTAGTTGTCCACCCCGCGATGATGCAATCTGAAGTTTGCAAGCCAAACAGGATCAGAAAGTTCCCATTTCCCCGGAGCCATCCTATTAAACAAGCTTTGAAAATCCTCCAGTGTTGGTGCCAAACCGCTTCGGCTACCGCTCAGGGTTCCCGAGGGCAAATTACCAACGAGGCGAACCACACCGTCTGGCAATGGAAATAGTATCAAGACCTCCTTCCCACCCGTGAACATGGAGATGTGTCTTCCTTCGTCTTCAAATTGATCCCACTTCAGATGCGCGTCGCAGAGGATGAAATCCTGCGGATATGCCGCGCCCTCAAAAGAGAGACCGGCGGAACGGCGTACCACGCTATGTGCGCCATCACAGCCGATCACGTATGCACAGCGGATGTGGCCCGTCACTCCGTCTTTCGACAAAGTCACGGTCACCCCCGATTCGTCTTGTTCAAAACCTTCCGCAGTAACCCCACGCTCCACTTCCACGCCGTAGGATTGCAGACGAGAGAGCAGCAGGGCCTCCGTTTCGGCCTGAGAAATCCACAATGGTTGCGGGAAAGCGGTGTGATCGAAGCCGAGATCTGTAAAGTTGAACACTGCTGCTTTCTTCTTATTGACAAAAACCCGCGCTCCGGTACCTAGAGTCCCTCGTCGCATGAGGTCATCGGCGATACCATGGCGTCTCAGGAGCTCTAGGCTTCGCGGATGTAGAACTAGGGCGCGACTCTTGTCGGATGGGGATGGGGATTTCTCAACGATGGAAAAGGATACTTGATGAAGGGCCAGCTCTAGAGCCATCGTCAATCCTGTTGGGCCGGCCCCAACGATGACAACGTCAACTTTTCGAATTACCATCCTCGACAAGGGATAGAATTAATAAATCTGTCAAAGTGAGATAATATTGAGATTCGACATCAAGATGGCAATGGGATTAATCTGGACTGAGGATCAAACTGAAGGACGGCAAGATGCCAAACTAGTTTATTTATAGCAGGTTCCCCCCCTCTCGCTAACGGCGAAGTCATTTTTCTGATGTGTCTGTCTGCACGAACATGATCGGGATCGGGACAGAGTACGCCGTGTGAAAAGGTAGAAATGGAGGACTGGTCGGTATTTCTAGCTCCGATCTTACCGATCAGTAATTCGACGCCGTGTCACACCACCCACACCCTCTTGGCTTTTGAGCCGGACTCGGCTAGATTCGTGCTGCATCGAATCAACACGGAGAACCGCTTTCTTGGAAACTCAGGAGGATTCGACATTGATGGACTGCTGCCAGGGACAGCTTTGACTCGCCGTTGCCGTAGAATTAGTCTTTTTTTGACAACTAGCGTAAATTTGCCAGGGTTGAAGCCCATGTAGCCTATATGGCCAGCGGGCTAAATCCCAGCCATTCCCTCGAGGTAACAATATTACTGTTGAGTTAAAAACTACGGCTGAAAATGTCAAGTGAAATTTGCTGGACGGTGCAAAGGATAGATTAAGAGGAGATGAAGATATCTTAAGGTGACGGACCACACCAGTTTGTAAAACCACGTTCTCGACTTATTATGATAAGGGGGGAGTGCTTCCCGCTATCCAAGCTTTACTTAGAACGACTAGTAGATGACGGTAGACCGAGCAGTAACTTGTCTACGGCATCTGAGCTCAGACTAGAGGCGGAATACAATCCATATCCTACAGCCTTTATTCCGAGCATATATGAGTGTTCCAATTGAGGACTGCTTTGCAGGTGGTTCCCGGTTCGCAGCAGGATTTTCCAGTCCATCCTTCGTCCCCACACGTCTACCGCTTTGTCGCGCATCGGGTATTGTTGGCGCTAAGCTTGCTGGTGACGAACTTAACAGCCTCCTGGCCATGAGCGTCTGTATAGCCCTGAATGGCAGTTAGATTATTACCGGTGCAGCAGTACGCGTCCGAGGCGTCGCAGTACGATTGGATCTTATCGGCGTGAGGGCAGACGAAGCCAGCTGGACGAGGGTCGATCTAATAGGTTCAAGATTAGCGACAGGAAGTGATACCGGGAGAGAGGGAGGTAGACAAAAGACATACACCGCCGGAACGGCAGGAACCGACTTGATATGGAAGACCGTACTGTGCTCTGAGATTACCAAAGAAAATGGCCGCCTTGATCATCTTGACAGCACTGTCTGAGATCTGAACAGTGTTGTTAGTAAAGCCGACCATGGGATCACCACCGCCACAAAGCGCATTATCCATGATTTGACCACCCTGTTCGGTTAGCGAATACCGCTCGACCAACCTAAAGACTTCTGTGACGCTCTTACCTGACCGAACCCGACAAGTACGAATTGGGTCTCGGGGCAGCTCTCATGCATTTTGTGGACCTGCCTCACTACAGCCATGGTTCCCCGCTCAACCGATTCACCGTAGGAGATCTTGCACGCCGGATCGCCAGTGCAAGCCCAATAGCCGATAGTTTCCGCGGCTGCGTCTGGGTTGGCGAGGGCAATCATGCTAACGAGAGGATAAGTAGAGCCCCAGGTCAGCCCCGGGCTAGTCTCTCGAGCAGCAAAGATATAGTTCCTGTGACAGACCCCAGCAACAATAGCAGTTTGCGCCGATAGAAGAAGGAGGAGGGAATTCCTAATGCTGGGAAACATGGCAGGTGTGATGTGAAATAACGGGGAGTACTGGCTATACGGGGTTTCTTTAACTAAAATGAGGTGATTCAACTCAGGGATGAGTAGCCATGGAATAACAGAGTATATTCTCATCCACAATCGACGTTCTGCGGTATTTATATCCGGGTACTGTTGTGTGAGGAGATTGGATACCCCAAGCCTCCCCTTTATTTCCCTTTGACTCTAGTGCAAAGCGCGAAGCAGACGAGGGCAGACTCCATGAGTCCATGACACAGTAACATTCCGTTTCGTGGCGTGTGAATAGGCAGAGCATGAAGGAACCAGTCGTCCATTCCGATCACGGGTATTTTCTGATGAACACGGCTAGTAACTTAAAAAGCCCAAAGCCAACTTCAAACGTAGAATGGAATGTATTTTCATTGTCAGCCATCTCCGTACCCTGGACGCGAAATTCCGGTAGAATTCACGTCGTACCAGGTAATTTAAACAGATTTGGAGGTAAATTCTACCTCGTAAACAAGGAAAGGAATTACTCGAGTGAGTGTTTTTGGAATGTTTCTCTCGACAGCTCTGGGGAGGAGTGGGAGCTAAAGTAGGAGCATGAGATGAAATTAGGAAATTGAGCCGGAATAACATGTCTTGGAACCAGAGTCTATTGGTATTCCCAAAGGCTTGAATTTGTATAACACCATGCCTGGTCGCTGAGGCGAAAGTCCAGGCCGTCTCCTTGCAGGAGAGATGCCCCGCCAGATGAAAGGTGGGACTATTTCATGGTCAAGATTTGGACGCGACGGGACGTCAAGATCAAAATAAAGCCAGTCGACCTTCAATATCCTAACATAAGTTTTCGGTGTCGGGATTGCCTCCTCTCGTCCTGTATCCTGATAGAGGCCCCAGGCGCAGTGGAAACGTCAATCGCAGATGCGATATATTAAGCCGGTGGCTGTGAGAGGGGACGAGGAAAGGAAAAAAAAAAAAAAAGGAAAGAAAGAAAGAAAAGAAAAGAAAATGAAAGGAAAAGAACAGGGTACACCATGCTTCTCCCATTGATCAATTGGATGAACCCCTTCGCCACAGAATACCACGCTCCCACTAGTTCCCGTCATTGAGAGAACGCCACACCACCACATCCGGCTGGACCACTATTATTCCCAATTGTCCAATCGCAAGATACTGGTGACAGGGGTGGGTGAGAAAGGTAAGGCAGATTCCGGACTCTTGGGGGTTCGCCTCCAATAGGCCGTAAGCAAAGCCACATCCACCGCCCCGTTAAGTGCCCCATGGTTGGTGTCGCGGGATCCCCACCAAGAGAGTCTGGAAAATAAGCGGACGAAGGATCATCCCACCATGGACAAGGGGTTGAGAAGAACTCTACACTTGGTGTCATCTGATTGTATGGTAGCCTGCACAAAGCTTGTTCTGACTACATCCTTGCTGGGGTGTATTGGCCCAAGGAGGATTCGCGTAGCTCAGCTTGCCTGATTTGGCTAACCTTGTTGTCAGACATGCTGCCCACCCAGCCAGGCCGGACAAACATCGCCCCGCCCCACGACCATGCAGCCTCACATAACTGGGTCGTGCCTGCAGTCATTATTAAATTATGATACGAGGAAATTCAGCTGAAAATGCAGGGTTTCGGAGTCTGAACGCTGATCTTCAGACCACGCCCATGGGCGGAATAAACGCTCCATCCAGCTGCATTGGTATTAAATAGGTCGACCTGGCTCTCTCCACCGATGGTCTTGGCCTCCTTGGCGCTGCTCAGCTTCTCAAATTTCCGTCACTTACAACGAGTGGTCTCGCAGTTAGCCTTTTAAGCCCAAGTCCCATCGACCAAGATGCGATATTTTGCCGCATTAAGTTGCTTGGCCATCCTTCTGGCTCTAGCACAAGCGACCCGGATGCCAAGCTGGGCGGGGGCGCTCGGTAAGCAAAGCAAACAGATACAGATCGCTTTTCGTGATACTAACAACGTTCTAGCCCCAAGATTCGATACCTTTTACAGCCAGTCAGGGATCGTTGCCAGGGCTCCGAAGGGCGGCGGAAAAGGCGGTGGCCACAGTAGCAGCTCAGACAGTTCGGATGACAGCAGTTCCGGCGGCTCCTCCAGCTCTGGGTCCTCGGGGTCAGGATCCTGCAGCACCAGCTCCAGCACCAACAATTGTCTTTCGACCGAGAAACCATGTTTGGATGCTTGCATCCCCAGCAGTGCGGTCTGCTGTGACAAGGGTGACCTGCCTGCCTATTGCGGATCAAGTCAGAGATGCGTCTTGTCGTCTCTAGTGGATAAATATTATAAGTGTTGCCCAGCTAGTGACAGCACCTGCAATGCGGAATCCAGCCGTGCCACCTATACAAACATCGGCAACTACAGGTTTAGCTCATCTGGAAATTCGGCGTGCAACTCTGCAGGCAGTGCTAGCGAGGCGAGTCGATGGAATAGCCAAAATATTGTTGTGGGCGGGGTGGTGATGCTCTTGACCATCTACTTTCGGCATTAACTGCTAAGAAGGCGGAAGAGCGGTAATATGGATGGGAAGAGATGAGTGATCGGGCTGTTGGAGAAAGTGAAAATTCTATACTTCGAAATTATTGCAGCGATTAACCTCGTGAATGAGAACTCTTTGGGTAATATGCACAGCTGGATGACCTCCCATTTATCCATGAAAATGTAGACCAGGATATATATCTCCAGAGTCCACTTTGGGGGTTGAATGCTCTTATATCGTTCAGGAAAAAAAAAAAAAAAAATTCTATTAGGAAGTGACCACAGAAATACAGTTTCAATATTAATGTCTCTTCAATAAGATCGGAATTACTGTGACCAACATGGACAAAAACTCGTTCACCTCAACGGCCTTGAGAGAAGGTTTGAATCTCATCGCGCCCCGCCCACACTCTCAAGGAGCATCCCTACATTCATCGCAGAGGACCCGTGGTACAGGACTTCATAACTCCCGAGAAGACTTGTTCGGACTATTGAAGCTACTCGGCAATGCAAATACTGGTGGGGGAACGGTGATTGGCGACTTTAAGATCCATAATACTGTTCTAGTGCTTGGAAATCTGCTTCTTCAAACAACAACTTTTACCCTCGCGTCCTTTGACCATGTCCTCCACCTGGATTCGACTGTATTTATGTCAATCCTTCCTCGGCGATTGGGCCATAAGGAACCCGGCAACAGCTTTCCATCAGCAATGATTCTGTTAGAAACACATAGCGAGGTTAGCATTGGCCAAGATGATTTACATGGTTGCAGTTATTGTTTTCCGGAGCCATGTCGATGTTTTTGGGCGACGCATTGAGCTCACTGGGTCTGAACACTTCATAGGACATGTTTCATAGGTCCGGACTATAGAAGGAGAAGCATAATATTCAAAGAAGATAATTTTCAATAGCTGCTGACTGTTTTGCGCGGCCTTCTCAGCTGTAAACACATTCACGACCCCAACTTTCGTCTAATACGCCTAATTCGAAGTTTCTCACTTTCGACGTAGGATGGCTAGAAGATGGTCGGCACACCCTAGATGTTCCTCTTTCCTAGAGTATTCGTTGAACAGCAAATCCGCCCACGCCTGTATGATCTCGTCGCTTTCTCCCGCGAGCTTCGCATCAAGACCACCGCCGAGGATTCCCTCAGCTGAGAGTAACTCGATCAGGTCGCCAGACCCCGAAAAGTTACGTGAGAAAAAGCTACGTATGTCCGAACTGTGGGTGTGAAAAGATTGGGCCTGCATATGGAGGGACTCATTAAACTTGTCGTAACGGCCGCAGGCAAGCTGGCAACCATGACAGGGAGGTTAGATAGGGACATGCACTACACCAGCGGGTATTGGACACGAACGTATTGAGTGTAGAAATCCTTCTGCCTCACAATCCTCGCAGGGTCGCGCATCGCAATGTCCCTCAAATGCGCCTCGACGCTGATAAAAGCACAGAAAACTAGACCACCCTGAGGTTTTGAGAGGCGGAGAGCATTGCCGACTGCCTTTACACGCTCGGACTCATCTAACAAATGATAGAGAGGTCCCAGAAGCAAAACAGCGTCATAGGAACCCTCCTGTAACGCCGGAACATCGAGGGCATTTCCAACGGCGATGCTTGCTAGGAGCGATTTGCTGCCAAACGAGGCGCGCCGGACTTGCTCAGCTTTTGCCATGTCAATTAAGTCTGGACTTAGATCTATGAGATCCACATGATACCCTTCATCAGCAAGCGCAAAAGCCAGCTTTCCAGGGCCACCACCAATATCCGCAATGCGTTTGGGCGAAGTAGCTGTTGAGGCGGCGAGCCCTTGGCGTATCGCTCGTAATGTGAGCTCTCGTTCCATAGGATGGGTAGCAAGTCGAGTGCACTCATCATCGGCTATTTTGCCGTACAAGCTAGCAACTGCCTCGGAGGATGTTGGCATTGCAGGAAAGAAAAAATATGTAATGAAAGGACGCGAATCTCGGTGCACTCCACAGGATCGAGGGGCGAGGAGTCGAGAAGTCGAGGGGTTGAGGAGTTGAAAAGGAGGATTAATTTAGAAGGTGTCATCTGTCGTATTTTTGTGCAGATACGAGAACTTACGGCATTCGGGAAGGACGGATGGTCATGTTGCTGTCTAGATATAACTTGAGAAAATATTTAAACCTAGTGACAACAAGTCCATGGTCAGCCACTTTAGCAGGGTGGGTTTAAGTGACTCTGGCGTTCATTGTTATTACTGGCTCTGAGGGCAAAGAGAACGACAACTCTTTCATTTCGTAAGCGAGCGGATTGCTGGTGGCAGTTTGCTCCTGCCAAATGGAGGATTTCGTCGGTCAAGCCCAACGAGGTGGGGTAAGACGGCTCAATGATGATTGATGACTCAAGCCAGGTCGTCACTTCCAACATCAACAGCGATTGGGGAGTCATTCCCGGTCAGTCAAGGCCACATCTAAGAAAACAAGAAAAGCTTCCTTTCGACTCTGGGGTCGGCGCTCGCGGCATAATAATTGGCTACCGATCACGCTACTTCGTTCCTCCGTCTCCATTGGCGCGTCAGAGAGTCATTGTCTTCGCAAGACTCCCATTAAATCCAACAGCCAAGCCCCTCATTCCATCCATCTTCTAAAGACACCAGCCATGTCTGCGTCTCAAGTTGCTCCCGAGCCCATCCTCCAACTTTCTCAGTCTACAATTCGACCCTACTGCGAACGAGATGCCGAGGCCATTGCCAAAGAAGCCAATAACCCGAAAATAGCTCGATGGATGACCAACCGCTTTCCTCACCCTTACACCGTCGCGAACGGTAAAGACTGGGTTACTCAAGCTATGTCTGTCTCTCCGCCGCACAGCTTCGCCATCTGCCTACCAGACTCTGGCTTGGCCATCGGCGGCATTGGTATAAAACCACGGGAGGACGTTAGCTACATTACAGTTGAGATCGGTTATTGGCTGGGAGAGGGTCATTGGTACCGGGGCATTGCTACAGAAGCCGTTGTTGCTTTCTCCAAATGGACGTTTGAAAATTTTGATCATGTCATTCGGATAGAGGCACAGGTGTTTGAGGGAAATGACGCCAGCTGTCGGGTCCTTGAGAAGTCTGGTTACACGTTGGAAGGCAGGATGAGGAAAGCCATCAAGAAAAACGACACGATCATGGATTTGCTGGTATTTTGCACATTCAGGCCGGGGTATTAATAGCCCGGCTCTCTATTTTCTTTTCTTAGAATTTTATCAGTGACATGGCCGCGAGAGGCAAGAGGGATGATGCTACCTGCAACAGTAATAAATTTTAATTCTCTGCATTTACTTGGCTCCGAAAAGTTTGTGGTCGGCTTTTACTGAAGACATCGATGAGTTTAACCCAGATCAAGCTGCCCCGAATCTTCAAGGCAAATGAGAGACATACGCGGGACAAGGCACGAATCGGGGACCAGCTCGCCGCCCGAGGTATGTGGCTTGATGTCCTCTGCATTTGCAGGGTCAAAGGTATCTGGCAGAACTAGGAATATGTTGCACCGGCTTCCGAAATACAGCGAGAGAGCAGAAAAGCCTGACAAGAATGGAGTGCAACGTGCGAGAAGTCCTCGGCGAGTAGTAAAACTAGGATGGACATACACGTCGAGGTGTTAATACAGTAGGCATGGACCCTTGGCTGTGTGAACTTCAGCGTCGCTTCCTACTTCATCTAGGTTGCGCAGCAGCAAACAAAGAACAGACCAGAAGTGCAAGCACACATTCTGTCAAGTCGTGGACGGGCAGGGCAAACAGTAATATCAAGACAGTCACGGAGACTCAACTCGTAGACTCCGAGGCCCACATCTTACCACTTATCATGCACCACCGGTTCGGCATGATAACTCTTACAACCGCACTCTTCTTCGTGGTGGTCAGTAACCGGCGGAACCCATGTACTCCCCACTCTCGGTGTCCACGTCACCGTCCAGCTGTAGAGCCGCGGTCCCACCTTCTTCCTCCTTAGTAGGTTAAACCGCTGACAAGATGGGCATTCGTCCTGCTGATGATACACCCAGTAAGAACGACATGACGGGCATCTATCGGGCCACTGAGCCGACGTACCCCGCCAGCTCATCTTCTCCACCGGGTTCCCCTGAGCCGAGAGGTACGTGCAATTATCCTTGCGCTTGGGGCCAAGAGGGAAGCGCCATGTGCGGGCGGCCCACTCGACAATGGGTTCAAGCTCGCATTTCTGGTGCTCGGCGGTCTCCAACTCGATGGCGAGCGTCTCCAACTTGGGCATCCAACGGAAGGCCAAACCCCATGAGTCGCAGCCAAAGTCAACAGGGGCTTGCCACTTTGCTTCTAGCGTTTCTTGGGGAGGCTTCTTGCCGAAATGCTTGGTCTCTGTCATCTGCGTCTTCATGGCGGCCATTTTGCCCCCGAACGGTGTGATGTAGAGGGGTTCATTTGTCTCGTTGTACCACCAGTCGCCTTTCTCGATAATAAGGCGAAGATTCTTAATACAACGGAAATAATAGGGCTCATTCGCGCAGGAGCGGAGGAAAGAGCCCTCGAGCCAGAACATCTGAGCGTTGACTTCAACCGAAGTGATGCAGTTTGCCTGCTCGATGGTAAGACCGCCGTAAAATAGCTCAAGATGCCGGTGCGGGGGCCCCCGAAGCGCCCAAATGCGATATTCGTATACGCTTGGTAACTGAAGTCGGGCCTCGAGATAAACTCGGCGGCATGTGCGAAGGAGCGCGATGTCGTGTTTGCGGCAGCCTGTGCAGCCGGGTCTGATATAGCGGCGGGATGTCCAGTCACCCGTCTCCTGTGTCCGCCAATTAGCTACAGACGGGTCAGGTGCGTAGATGCCGTATCTATCTCCGACAGTGGGATCTCGCTGACCCGGCCCAGGCTCTTCGTCATCCTGGCTCAGCGTGGGCTCGATCTCTCCGGAAGAGTCTAAGTTCGGCTCGTTTTCTGGAAAGTTCTCCGGATCAAACCAGTCATACTCGACACTACTCGGCGGTTCGGTCTCGTCCGCAATGAGATCGCTGCAAAAATCGGGTTCGAGGGCCCCGTCGTCATCGTGGTCACCATCGTGATGGTTTTTCACGCGGAAGTCGAACGGGATGGAAGGCTGGTCGGAATCGGCGAATACATAATGGTAAATCAAGAGTCGTATCTCGGCGGGGAAGTTGGCGCTGAAAAGGGGACTTTCGCGCTGGTAATTTACGTCCCATGTGGAAACGAGCTCATTCAATGCAACAGTCATTTCTGGCCTAATCTTCCAAGTGGTAGTAGAAGTGAAAAAAAATCAAACAATAGCTTAACGGGCAGTGAAAGTTAGGTGGAGAACGAGTAGACGTGAGATTCCCCGCACGCGATGAGCCTTAAACGGGTGAAATAAGCTGCTGCCTGCACAGCCTGGTCCAATATCAGGGCAGGAGCGGGGTTCGACGGCGTTGTTATGGTGATCGAGGAAGTTTAATTTATTTCATATAAAGTGATCGATGAATTTACCATCACCGGTCTTCTTAAGAGTTGGATGGGCTTTACTAGCCATCGCCATTGAGTTTTCTAGGACTTATGGTCAGCTTCTCTCGTACCATCACCAATAGTGCAATGTGGACCACATTCCCGCTGGTGAGTGGTAGTCTAGTACATATTTTGAAAGTGGAACCACTGGCAGGTGAGTGTGCTACAAGGTCTGGTGGAAGGATAGAAAGTAGCAAGAGCTTGATGAGGAGACGGCCAGTGATACGGTGTAGCGGGATTTCCCACCTCATTCCTCGCCTCAGGCATGCGCATTTATGCACCTAGAAGGAATTAGAACTATTAGCTCGGCATGTCTTTGATGTCGGGACATTATGCTGCAGAAGGTACAAGATGGTGAGAATGAGATAGGTGTTAAGAGACGTAGTATTTGAAATGCTCCTCTGGTAATGGATTTTGTCAATTCGGCCATCTACGATCCCAAGACAAAAAGGAGAAAAAAGAAACATGATTGTCTGATCCTAACACCGATAACATAATTCTCATGGTTGGCAAAGAGTAGAAATGTAGTAGAAAAAGACCATTTTCCTACCAGACTTATCCGTCTTTCATGGACGAGAACCGGACTTCTGAGGTTTGGTTTGATTCGTCTGGGAGATGAGACTAGCTTGGGACCCCAGGAGCCACCTTCAGGATCCATTGTACTACCCTTAGGTCCCACTTTCGCCGATTGCTGCTCAGGGCATCCAGCGAAGCAGGAGAAAGACGTCTGGATTCTCGTGTGTCTCTGAGGCTATTTGTAGCCGCCGAGATTGACGAAACATGATTCCTCGGTCCCAGTCATACCAGACCTAGATGAGTCAAGCTGTGTCTGTATGACGGATTGAATAAACGAGTAACTGGACCAGAAGAAAGTCGGGTTAGCATGTTTCCTCGCCAGAAAGGGCAGACCGTCGAGCATACTAGGATTGGACAGTTGCCATGCTTGGTGCTTTGGATCTTCTTCCGTATGAAATACATCGCAGAGGCGATCTCGCTTCGAAGGACCGAAGGACCTCTTCACCACGATGAGCCGTATTATCGTTGATCATGCATCCGGCATGTGGCTTTCCCTTTACGAAGTACGCGTGGTCGTCCACCACTCGGACGTGGGCTCTTCGGGAGGGAACCGGTGCTCCTCGACGTACAGGTTCGTCCCCGAGTACCTGGGGAGGCGACGATTCTTTCCATCGTAGCTATGATGATGATGAGAACGGGGACTTGTGGTTCGCTTGCACAGCCAGACGACGACAGAATCCAATACCTACCCGATGGCGATCCATCCTGGCTGGTCTGCAGGCTTGAAGTCGGCCACCACAAAACCAAGCTGACGCGAAAGCCAGCCCGCTGCATGGAGTGCGCAATGGAGTTCGCGATGATCCCGGTGACAGATGCCCCAACCCATAGCCTCCTTTTCGTGGGCGTCAATGGCACTCCTCGGTTGCTCACTGTCCGCGAGCGGGTGGAAGAACACTGGCGGAGAGTCAGAAGTGGCCAAGATGCCCACATCAAGGAGCGGACCTCTGCGAATTCCCATCTTGATGAGTTCAGTGTCGGAGTGTGTCGGGTTTGGCTTATTATGCAACTCTTTCTCTAGCTCGAGGATGTCGCAGCCTGGGTGCTGGATGCCATATCTAGAGGCGCTGATGGCGGGTTGGCTAACAAGAAACAAGTGCCCAAAATGCCAGAAGGAGGGGAGAGAGCATTGGATATACGTCAGTAGGGACCACATGTGAATGGAAGTAGGCCCGTATGTGTTGATATCGAGTTCAAAGACGACGCGTCGTGCTGTTCTTAGTCATGCTGCACGGGCAGACACCCGCCGAACCTCAACCGTCCTCGAAACCCCGGAGTCGTTCTTCTCAACGTCGACGCCTCATCAACCGGCCCAGGATACGCCCACAGTCAAACTTGCCAACGATTTGTACTAGCTCTCCACGACGCGTACACAAACATCTTAACCGCAGCAGAGAAACAGACCGCAAATTTACCGTCAAAGAAGTGAAAAGCCGCAACTAACGGAAATCAACTCCCACATCATCGATAGGAGCCTGAGATAGGCGGCCCGTGATGACAGTGATCAAGACTCTCCCTTCAAATGTCACGGACGCGGGTCCATGGCTAATCCCGTCTATCGGCTTCCGTGAGTTTGATACCTGGGACCCTTTCCTCGTCGGAAACTACGAATTCAAATAGTTAGCTTCAGGGATGCCGGGACTCAGCATCCCCTCATAGAAAAGTGTTTGTCCAGATTCCAGATTTAAGAAAAGTAAATGCAGCAATTTCATTATCGTATTACTCGAAATCATCCGCCGTCACATTTCCGCCTAAGGAAGGAAACACCAATATAAAGAACCCCCCCCCCGGGGGAAAGCAAACAACCAGCAGGCGCCGAAATAAGCTCAGCGTCTGGGTCTGACCTTTGTTCAAGGAACCGAATGAATTGTTTTCGCGTCTTATTCAATTTCCCGCAACTACTTTTGGCGGCTAGAGCACAACGTCCATGGTCCCGTCATTATTGAAATATTTCTCGAGACCGTATCGTTCAGCAATTTTGCTAGAGGAGATTCAGCAACCGGCCCGGAGTTATTAACTGCTAGAGATGTCTTACCAGAATTCTATGGTACCCGCCGCGATCGTACGCAGCCCATCGATGTACTGGACAACGTCACCGTGGACCTTAACGCCGGACTTGGCTGCGAGCTTTTCAACTACCATCGCAGCTTCATCGAAGCGGTCCCGGCATGCCTGGAGCTCCAACATAAGCTCGGGAATGACAGCGTCAAGAGGCTTTCCCTGGTGGTACATGATTGGAATAGCGTTGTGGACGCAACCCGCCGCCTTCAAGCTGTTAGCTTTTTTTGCCGTTGAGGCCAGGCACAATGACTTACCAGTTCCTTCTTTGCCGATAGAATATCGTTGCCGCTACGTTATGTGTGGGCAGGTAAGTATACATCTCTCAAACAATTCTAGGATGGGTTGGGGGTTCTTGGGCCAACCAACATGATAATATTGATGTTGGCCTCTTTCCACAATGCCTGCATCTCTGGAGTGTCATGAAGCCAGACCGGTAGTTGTGTGCCAAGGGCAACTCTGGGTCCATGTCAGCACAGTTTTCGCCAGGAATGAACAACGGCAGTCTCTCACTCTGTAATGAGACAGTAGACGCGGACGGCAGAAGTGCCGAACCGAATGTTTAGATAACTTCTGAAATCGGTCGCGGTCTCGCCGGTAAGTCGCTCTCTTTGTTCAACCGCACAGAGGTCAAAGTAAAATTTAAGCTCTCGTTGAAACAGTTCCCGGAATTCTAGGATCGCGTAGGTAAGCCACAGAGTAATTTTTTCTTTTTGAACCGTCTCAACACAAACCTTTGCTGCGCGTTCGCTGGACCAACTGGCCGAATTCCTTGAACACGGCACACGGCTCGTCAGGACTGGGAGGCTCCGTCTTGTAGCTCAGCCCAAACTGGCGTCGAAGCCACCCTCTCTCCGGCAGGAGCCAGGAAAATAGCTTTCCAAAAACACCGGCCTGGGAGTCCTCGGGGTCCAGGCCCAGCCAATACCTAGTATACTCAAGAACTTGCTGTCTGTAACGATTAGATGCCTCGAAATCGAGGGCAAGCGCCTCGTCGTTTGCATCCATCGTGTCGTCACAAACAAAGATCCAAAATGAAAAGACACCGCATGCATATAGCCTTTCCCAATCTGCCTCGGGATACCAGCTGCAGCTAGGAGTAAGCTCGAGAATCAGCAGGGTTCGGCAGACACTTAAACTTACATCGATGTAAAGAGGGCAAAGTCATTCTTCGACGCCCTTCTCCTCTTCTTCTCGTCCGGATATACCCTGCGTGTAGAACGATCATCAGCTCACATCTACGATGCGTGCCGGGCGACCAACCTTTCGACAATATCATCAAGTCTTCCTTTGAGGCGCCTGTAGTATTTACTCCGACCACAGGAAGGCCAGTTGGAGAGCACCTCGAGCATGTTCGGAACATGCATCACCTGGCCCTGAAGCTCGGTGATCAGTTTCGTGTGAGCTTCATTATTTGACGCCATCTCTCTTCACGACCTGGGGGAAGGATGCTATCTGAAGAATGACTATTATGAGAGGGATCCAGCAGAAGTAGCAGCAGGTGTGTTTTTAACGACAGCTAAAATCCTGCTTGTATCAGAACAGAAGCTGAACGACGGTAGTTTATGGTTGTTTAGAGAAGATGAGACGGCATGATCTGACTTCCACCATAACCCCAGATCGCTGCTTTTATGTTAATCCTACGAGGCGCATGGAGCCCTCTCCCGGCCACTTAGTAGCTAACCACCGGATGCATCTTGCTGCATATGGAACAGGAAACTTAGAGACGAGACGCATAGACACATGGGATAGGACCCACGGATTCAAACTAGTCTATACGACACATCAGTGGCAACCCGACTTACCCTAATGTGCTCTGTCGAATCACAAGCTGCCAGTTGTCTACGTGCTGCTGGAGCAGATTCCGGATGCCCACAAACGACTCTGAAGGAGCTTGCATACAGACCAAAGTGGAGGTCAGATAACTGATTCTGGCTAGCGTCTCTTGCGAATATCCTGCATCTCTGCAGAAACCGGTTACATTTCATGATAGTTCGTAGCTCACTTCCCCGCCCGAGGTGCCCGAGAGGCTGTCACCCCTCAACTGATTCTATGTCCGAGCCACACTTCGGAAAGACCCGCATATGGCTCTAATCACTACCATTCCCCTGACCTATCGGCATTACCTCCGGGATGGAGGAGGTGGTCGCCAAGCGTCACCGTTCGGGCCTTATCCTACATCAGAGGATCTGCGTCTCCATTTTGGGCACCCCGTCTATCTTCTCCGCACGCATGTATCCCCTCTCTCTGTTGCTTGCCAGATGTAAGCAGGAAATGGTGTTGCATTTTCTCTCACCGCTCCTTGCTTGGCCAAGAAGCCCAAGGGCAAAACGAGTCAGTAAGTGTGCCAGAAGGCGCAAGAACGAACGATACAGCTCCATGTCCGTACCCTTCTAGTCTCCCTTGTGCCCCACCCAGAAACCATACCCCGTATCTCTGTCGTCAATACTATCAGGCGTGACGATTGGGAAATTTGACGCCGTTAAATATGCACTTTTCTGGTGTGATAGTGATTATCTGGCAAGTGCCTCAAAGAAAAGTATTTGCTAGGTTTCGAAAATGATCAATCTATGCGAAAATCTCCCTAACACTTGCCCACGCGAATTCAACATTAAGTGACCCTTGCTTTGATGGGGGACAGTGTAGCCGTAGCATGGAGTTCAGACGCCATTGGTATTGCTGCAAGTGGTTGTTCCAACAAGCGCCACAAGCGCGGGCACAACATGGTGGCCCATGCCGGTTTCATTATTTCCAGCCACCGATTCCCAAAAACATAGGGATCTTATACAACCCGAAGACCGAATGACAATTTAGCAAAAGTGAAGGAATGAAAATTTTGTGCAACGTCCGCTTTTTAGGTAATTATCGTGCTTGTCGTGGCCGGTGACAGACGTTACACAGACGGGTGGTGCACGGTCGAGAGACGTGCATATAAGGGCTTTTTCTCATAGAGAACAATAGTTTTCTGCGGAAGCCAGTTCTCACTCTCGGGCATCAAATGGAGGTCGAAATTCCAAACCATTCGCGCAATCACCAGCCGTGATTCCATGTAAGCAAGACTACGGCCAATGCAGTTCCTAGGACCAAGGCTGAAAGGCTGGAAAACCTCACGGTTGTCGTCTGCATATCGCTCGTCTCCGAGCCATCGTTCCGGCACAAAGAGGTATGGATCAGCGAAGTTGTCTTTCGAGTGGAAGGCCGCCCACTGTGTGATGTAGACGTCTGCGCCTTCCGGCACATACCTCCCGTCAATGAACGCACCTCCTTTCGGCACGAACCGATGGATGCCTGCGGGAACCGGAGGATGAATGCGTAGACTCTCATTTATGACCGCAATCAAATAAGGGAGTTTGGGGATGCTTGAGAAAGTGATTTCGTCCTCGGAAGAAAACGCAGAGCGGACCTCCTCCGCCAGCTTCCTCAGCTTGTCAGGATTGGTCATGAGATGGTACGCTGTCACTCCAAGAAGAGTCGCCGAGGTCTCGGAGCCGGCCATGACGAGGATTTGAGAGTTGGCATAGAGTTCGCTGAGGCTCATTCCGTTCTCCTTTTCGGTATGCTCAAGGATGTGAGTCATGAAGTCAGACCTGTTCATCTCCCTTTGGCGTCGCCGATCGACTTTGTCCTTAGTGAAGGCCACGTGTTTCACGAAGTCGTGCTTGATGTGGCTTGGAATCATCAGCTTGACAGCCGCGCCGAGGGTTCCCATGGTCGCAATGATTTGGCTGTACAGCATCAAGCTTAGACGCGAGAAGACGAAAGAGATCCAAGGATGAAGCCGGGATTCCTGGAGACAATCAAACGGTTCACCAAAAGTGAGATCTCCGATGATGTCGAATGTTGTGTAGTTGAACCAGGAGCAGAGATTAACAGTCTTCCCGGCATTTTCACGCATACGTTGCATGAGAAGTGCCGCGTACTTGGTGATGATGGGTTCTTGTTCCATCAGGGACTTGTCGGAGAATACGGGGGCCATGATGCGGCGCTGTCTGGCATGCTCCACATGACTGACCTGCCAGAGCATGCTCAGTGTACCGAAGGACTCGACCTCATGTTGGCCATAGATGGGATTCAACGGCATAGGCTCTTTGCCTTTAGAACCAGCACATATATCCTTCCAGGCCTGGGCGGATATGTAAGACAGTTCGCCCGGCGAGATGCGGACAACAGGGCCATAGATCTCATGCAGCTCATGTGCCTTGTAGGTAATGCTGCCTCTCAGCTGTTGGATGATTTTGGGTAGGTTGGATCCGGCGTAGAGTATGGGGCCTGGGAATCCGGCCAGTGGATGGAACCAGACATTATAGACGAACTGAGCAACAGGAACGCTTGCAACCTACCACACGTTAACCTCTGTTCAAGATAGACACAGGAGGAGAGACTAGTAAGAGAAGTCGGCAGGGTAGGTGTGCTGGACAAGAAAGGGGCACAAAAGATGCTTGATTCTTACCAGAACGGAGGCAATAATCCCAATCTCTGGCCAGGAGAGCTCTCGGGCCAGGGAGATGCCCACCGACAACGTTTTGAGAATCGAGGAGCTCATTACTGCTTCGCAACCGCTCCCAATGCTGTTACAATGTAAATTGTCTACGAAGAAATGAGGAGCGAGTTGGGGCTTCTCGGCTTTTGTACGGTCACTAAGATCCGCATGTGCGAGGAAAGAGAGCACATTGTCCAGAATTCGGTATTTTACAATTGGTCGAGTGAGGAGTTCCACTTCTCGGTTCTCCAGTCGTATTGATGATGCAGTCTGTAATAGGACGTCCGCATTGCACCCGCATACAGTTATCCGGTCCCCAAGCGGCCGCACAACTTCTCGCTACCCAACGAAGCCGATCGAAATCGGGGGTGTAGTGCCTAATTCTTCATTGTCCTGCCTGCAGATTGACTGTACCTATCGGGATACCTCGAGCGGGAAGGCAAGGTGAAGAGGGCCATCTACGTGCAGTCAGAGCCGCTCTCACACCACATTTTCCGTCTCCACTCCGTCACTCCCTTATCGTCTACACTTCTACAGGTGAGGTTGAGCATGGATAATAGTTGCTGCTTCGCTACCTGTAGTGATAATCGATCGGCATGACGAAAAGAGTTGGAGAAGGACTAGTGCAGCAGAGGTGGCGATAATTATAGAGCGACAAGGGGGAAGCGGACATACCCGCTAGACAAGATTCGGAGAGTGTTCGCGGGCGAGCTAGGACCCGAGCACTTTCCCGGACAAACCCGCCAAGACGCATGGACTCGAAATCAGGATTCTAGTGTACACGAATTCTTCAATCGCCCTTGGAAACGCTCCCCTCCCCCCACTTCTCCGAGTGTCGTGCAATGGTCTGTCAAGAAGATAGTGCCAAACTTGCGCAATGCGGCCCGCGTGGTCGGCTCCTATTCGCCGCAGAGTAGATTGGCTGTGGTGCAGTGCCACGCTCTCCGGAGCGAGAGCCGGTTGGGCTGGCTAGTCTGCTGGTGTCTTGTTCCAGCAGGATGGACGGTGGCGGCCAGGGGTGGTGGGAGATGGTTGAGGGTGGTCCACCGTGCTGGGACTCCCACCATCAAGACCTCAGGCTTTTTCTTCATGTCGGCGTTCATCATTCTTCCCCACGACGGCGAGTCACGATTGGCCCGAGTGACCCGGTTCCGTGTGCACGATGTCGCATTTGACCCCTCATACCTGACTTCGAACTATTCCTCCTTTGTCCCGTCATCACAACTAGTGCCAAGCACGGTGGGAAAAGAAGAAACCCCATCCATGTCAATCCGACCACTCGATGCAATCAACTTCCTGCAAATTCGTGGATAGGCCGGGGTTTAGTGCGTGAGAACTTAGGGCCAATGTCACCCCGGCCTAACCCACACCGCCCTTTCTCCTCTGTAGCATGTCACTCCCAACCACTACTCGCAGGTTGTGCAGTGGGCAGGCACAAAGGAATAACGTATTCTAATACGTACCTCCTCGGCATCTCGGGCAAAGGGGTTGGGGAGGGGGGCGCCTATTCGGAAATGTAGTTTCTGGGAGGAGGAGAGAGAATCGAAAAGATATGCGCAAATAGAACAAGAAAGAATTCGCGAAAATCCCATTGTCTGGAAATGATGTCGGACCAGACAGAGATACCCGTCATTTCCGACTGACTGGTCCATGGGAATCATGACAGAACCCCGCAGTAAGCCACAAACTTCCATCAAGGGGGCGATCCAAATCTCAGGGTCCTTGCATTCGACAGAAGAAGACCTGTACACTTCCGGGGGCGGCCTTCGCCCGTTGGAAGTAGTCCGGTACTTTTATAAGTACATTTGGCAACCTTTCCGTTGGTGATAGGAGTACCACCACAAAAGTACCACCGATGGTGTACAGAGGTACCAATGTACCAGTACCTATTTTCTTTCCCCCTTTTATTCCTCTGGTGTTCGCTCTGCGCCACCGACTCGGGATTCCTACCTTTACGTGCGTCCACAGTCGAGACGTCCCGAAAATGGGGAAGAATGCTATTACGGGATTGTGACAAGGTAGGGGTCAAGGTCCGAAATTTGCGGGAGAGACTATGCGAATCATAATCATGGTGGAAGGAGGACCGTACCGAGCTGACGGTAGTGGACTTTTTTCGAGTGTTTTGTGGAACTCTGGACGAAAAGTGCACGGCGAGAGGAGGGGAAAATGCTCCGGTCTCACGGAACTCTCTTTCGTGAGTCCCAGCCCAAACTTTCGCTGGTCCTCGATAGCTTTTACTTGGCAATTGACGGTTGAACTTGGTGTGAACCTTCTGTGGCGCTAACTGGAGTATCTACTACTCTGTATACCTACCCTTTCTGCCCCTCTATTTTTCGTTTCATCTTTTTATTTCATTTTTCATTTTTCATTTTTTTTCATTTTCTCTTCGCCCAACTTTGGCTTCAGGGATGGCAAAATAATATTTCAGAGATGGCAGGTGTTTCTGTCCCACATCCTTTCCTGAGTAATTAACTTTTGGGTCGGACTCTGGTGCCAGCGCCAGCAAGGGTCATCACACCGGTAGGGCAGCGACATGGGTCGATGTACTTGAACAAAGCAACGTCAATTGACGTACAATTAATGTCTCCCGCGAAGTGTGTCCTGCAAAGGACCAAGCCGGGCTGTACATTCATCACTAATTCTTCAAGAGAACCAGAGCAGTGGGTCGGCAGCGATTTCGCCGAAGTTTACCAAAAGAACGCGTGAGACTTGCCATGCAAGACCTATTAAAGATTTGGAGGCTTGGGCGCTAGCCCGGTTATAACTGTATTATTTGAATTTAGTCTTGCGAGAGCCGGGTACGATGAACCACGACTCCTGGCTCTCCCTCTCCCTTGCTTCCTAGCTAATACTGATTGGGATGTGGCAACCCCAGCCCCAGCTTAACCGTCATCGTCTCTAGAGCAGCTTCCCCCATCTTTGCTGCTCCTATTCTTTTTGGGTTCCTTTCCTTCCCTTATTTTCTATTCACAACCCCCTCCTCGATCATGGTTCTACAGATAGATTTCGCTGTTTCTGGATTCCTTCGGATACGACAACACTAGTAATTTAACACGCCCTAGGTCATTTATCCCCCTCCCGTGAGCGAACCGTTCCGATGTCGTTCGGCGGTCGCGACAGCCTCTCCGACTATGAATTCACCTTCGAGGCTTACCTAGACCATTCAGCCCGGATCGAGGCCGATGTAAGTTTCACAGAATCAAATATTTCGTCGCCCTAACGATTTTGTCGCTCACGCACTGCACATATTAGCCTGATCTATTGAGCAATGAGGAACTGTACGTTGAATTCTCTACCGGTCTCATTTGATATACAGGTCGCTATAGCTTTATAGTAGCGAAACTGCGTCTTTAACGGATAGTATATACGACTATCACCGTGAAAATGGACGGACATATCATACGTATCGTTCTGGTTGTGAGCAGTTTACGGCCCCCACCTGCGGCTCCCCTCTCACGCATCACCACTCACCACTAATTTTTCCGACCTAGCGTTCTACGTGCCGAACGACGAGCTCGAGACAGATCGCATGGACAACCAATATGAAATACTCAAGATTCTTTTAGACGGGAGACATTATTTAGCGCCCTTATCGCGCGAGAACCCACCTCGCAAGATTCTTGACGTTGCAACTGGAACGGGGCGGTGGGCAATTGAGATGGCGGATGAGTTTCCGGAAGCGCAAATAATAGGGACGGATCTCTCGCCCATACAACCTCAGATGGTACCACCAAACCTTCGCTTCTACATTGATGACGGGTCCGTGACCATCCCAAAAGCTTCAGCTCCAGGAAGTCAAAGAGTTATACGCTGACGGATATGTCTCCAATCTAGAAATGAGGAATGGCAGACGGGCAAGGATTGGTTCGATATTGATTTTATCCATTTCCGAGTCACCGTTGCGGCGTGGTCGGACTGGCGCTCTATGATTCGTATGTCTTTCGAGCGTCTGAGGCCTGGTGGTTGGCTCGAAATTCAGGAACCGAAATGCGACATCGACTGTGACGTTGGCGAGATCCCCCCAGACAATCCGGTGAAGCGGTGGTTCACCGAACTGCAAAAGGCAAGCATTATCGCTGGCCGACCTATCCACGAGATTCCCGAGTTAAAACGCATGCTTCTCGAAGCGGGGTTTGTCGACGTCCATGAAAAGGTCTACAAGATCCCGCTGAACGGATGGCCACGCAGTCGGAGGCTGAAGAGGATTGGCGAGCTATGGCACCACTGCATGGAGGACGGGCTATCTGGGTTCAGTTATGCATTTTTCCATCGGTGTCTGGGTATGACGAAGGATGAGATTGAGGTGAGATACCGCACTGCCGCAGATTATGAGTTGGGGGTTAGGCGGCGACTGACGTTTTATCACAGATCTCGCTCGTCGACGTGAGAAGAGGTTTAGGGGACCAGCGCCTACACGCCTACGAAAAGTTTTATGTCGTCTGGGGTCGGAAACCAGTCGATGCACCAGAGCCAAGAGACCACCCGATGTCCTAAGAACATTTTGAGCGGTAACAACGTGATATCACCGAGAAACATATCGATTCACAACACATGATTCATGAAAGGGACTGGCCTCCCTAACATTTACAGCGGCGCGAGTAGGTCTACTCATGGCCATACGTCGGTGGGATCAGCGACCAAGAACAAGCCGAAACAATCCGGGCCGTATAACAGTCGCCAGCGAAGCCCAGTCCGCTTCGCGTTTCCGCCCTTCTCACCAAAAAGGTGTTAGAAGTACCCGCAAAACGAAAATACAACACGCGCCTTCCATACGTAACGTTCCCAGGGGACTGATATTTCCCATAGACCAATCCCTATTCAGCAAACGCGGGACTAGAATCTTTAATGCAGCGACAGGTTCATACTGTCGAGATTCCTCCGGCATCAGGCGCCGGAAAAGGATAAAGCTAAACCACTATGTGGGATGACAACCGAGGACCAGGCTGGCAGAGATGGAGCGAGCGAGTGACGGGTTTGATCAGGCCAGACCCTATCAGCTGATGTATATAGATAGCTTTCTCTAGGGAAGGGCGGGGGGGGGGGGGGGGGCAGAGCGCATACGCTTGTGCGCGTCTGGGAACATTATTTAAATGTGCCGCTAACCGAGCATGGATTTAACTTATTCCCGGATGGACCTCTTGAAGTACATTAACTCGTGATCCGTAAGAAAGGCCTAGGGAAGAATGACTGACTCTAGTTACGTTGGCCGTACTTCAGTCGCGGACGAATGGGACCGGTTTTCCTCAGCGACGCGAATAATCTCTACCCTCTCCAGAATCAAACTTAATCGTGTTCGAGGCGTCAATATCACCTGTCTTCATACACAACATAAGTCATAACCAATATGATTAAGGCGGATGGGAATGTCAATAGGGCCATCTGAGGACCTCGTGAAACGTTCTTTGACTTTGAAAATCCTCCATCAGATACTCCTTATCATCGTTTGTTTCCAAGTCACTTTTAGACGCTCCTTTATGACGGGGAAAACACTATAAGCCCGTTCAACTTCTGGAGAAGGATGATACGTCCAGAACGGACGAGGGCCGGCAGAGTTGGGAAAGCTGTGAATGCGGTTACAGATCCCCGACATTAATAGAAAACGCTCTGCTGCAGAGACTCGTTTCAGAGAAAAAAAAAAAAAAGAGGGCAGAAAAAAGCTCCTATGGTCATTTCCGGATGCTTGAATCTTATGTGCAAGTGTCCCAAGCCACTAGACTGGAGTTGGTTTCACGGTGGGTTAGCATATCGTCGGAAAGGCAGATGTTCAGCTGAGGTGCGTCATGAATAACGAAAAACACAGAATTTGGTTGCCTCAGTATATACATATACATTCTTTCAGTTGGAAAATTCATTATAGAGACCTCAAGCTTTAGGAGCCGAATGAAGTCGACCCACTTCCCGTTATCAGATTATGAGGTCCTGCCTATCGGCTTCAAGACGAATCCTCGCCCAATTTTGGACATCTCTTGAGTACAAAGAATAACGAACGAGGTGACATGGCGCGTCTTCTAGAGTAAGAGGACTTCAAAATATCTCATGGAGGCCTTCGTTCTCCGCGTCAATCTAGACCTACCGTTTTGAAGTGAATCTCTTTACCGCATCTCTTGACCGAGTCTAACATGAGGGAGAAACAGAATATTTGAAAATATTGAAAATCATTTGGATGATCTCGGTGGTGTTGCTTGAATTGAGGCGTCTCAGTGGAAAAGAAGTTAGATGCACGTGACTCCAAGTTGAAATCGTGATGCGCCTGGTTCGACAAGGGTTGGTCTCAGACTGAAATCGCGACCTCCAATCTGCGTTTCAGAGCGGTGGACCTCGGCCAAGCGTCTGAAATTGTCAGCCCACGCCGAAACAGAAGGAACCTATCATCGTGCGAGGTGCCTTTTTCTCTTCAGTACCGCCGCTCACCAGTCCCATTCAAAGGCGAGAAGAAAAAACTTCGCGTTTCAAATGCTGGAAAGAGATGAGACTGTACCCAGGAGGCCAAGACGATTTACGTCTGGGGGGTCAGGTAATCATAGGTTCAACCGCAAGCAGAGCAAATGATACTAATACCACATCGTCCCGTTCCATCTGCTCTGGACAAACTAAACCTACGTGCAGCCCAAGCGACCTTACCACTTGGGACAAATTACACCGCAGGACGGACACCAAATATACTCGCCGGTCGACACTTTACAATTGATACCTAATATTCTGAATCCCTCTAAAATGCCCGCCCTACCTGTGGTTGTTGATTCCCAGATCCTCGCCCGAGGGTTGGTGGAGGCCAGTCATGTCATCGTACGGAGAGCCGTCGACCACTCGATAGTCGAAACGATTGCCGTCAGTATGTTTTCCCAGCATCTCTGGAGACTTTCTTGGAATCATGGTTTGTTAACTAATAAACAGCCTTGACAATCGTTATTAGTATGGGAGGTCTAATGTACTGGGGCATTGTGAAAGAAGGGTCATGTTCATCGGGTCGGAAGAAATGATGGAATCCCTCTTGGAAGGGCAAATATGCAAGATTGGGGAGGCATGTATGTCGGGACCGGTCCGTGAGGTCTCCTCCGTTACCAAGCCTCATCCATCCTCGCCACCGACCATCTTTGATAAACATTAAACGCCACCATCACAACCCATCTCCACCGACTGAAGCGAGCGAACGGGACACATCGAAGCGCGCCTACTCACCCAAATCTCCCACTGAAGATGCACGCTTGAGTCAACAACGATCAATAGTCAAGGTCGGAAGATCGAACCGCTGTCCGTATTCTCTTTTACACGAGCTGCCAATCAATGTCCGGACTACAGGACCCTGTCCGTGAGGCCCAACTTCTGCACGAGCGGGCCTCTGCATGCGCCGACTCTTGTCCCGTCATTATCACCACCGCCTTTATCCTGACAAGCCATCAGGATAGTGTACATACTGGTATTTCCGAGGAGGAAAAATATCTCGGGGATATCATTGAATTCCGGGTTCGGAGAGTGTCTCCAATCTGGGGACGTTGCATAGGATGAAAGGTTACATATTTCTTTGGATTTTGATTTTCAATGTTATTTAGACAGCGATTTAGCGAAAGGCAATAAATATATGGAAGGAAAGAATAAAGATACCATTCGAGATCAACACCCTCTATAGTTTATATCCATTGATTCTAAGTACAAATCTAATTACAGTATACATCGTCAACAAATTCCAATCTCACTTCCTGCTGGCAAAAATGCTTAGAAACACGCTCCAACCAAACCCCACAAACACCGCGACAAGCACGCGAGATCGAACAGGTACCCATAAGAAGTTGCAAATAGAAACGAGCGGCCAGATGTGCCAGCCAGCCTTGATAAGCGGGAAAATTTTTTCGCGGATCACGTCGAGGACCATGAACGGATGAGGCACTCGGACGAGGTTTGTGCAAACGAGAAAGACGCAGCCGCTGACGAATAGGCCGAGGGTTTGATCGAGAATAAGCTTAGCCACCACATTTCGCCATATTAGGTCCGGGCTTATCCTTAGACAATTTCGGCTCTTCTCTCCCGTTGACGAATCATCGCTCTTCTTCTCTTGTTGGGGCTTCTCGCTCTTGACGTTGACCGGAAGCCCTTCACTGCCCTGGGGAGTGCCTGTTGGAAACCAATTCTCGAGCTGAAACTGGACGATATTCCCGACTTGAGATCCGATAAAACCATACACGGCAAACTCAAGGACCTGGAGCCAGTCGAAAGATGATTTATTCGGGGACTTGGAGCTCGCGAGGAACTGAACGATTAAATTCGCGGACACCTTCATTATCATGCCCTGGCATGCGAGACGGAGATTGAGAGCACGATGCATTGTGAGAGGACCAGCCTTTTCCCAACTTTCACATCGCGTTGTAGAGGATTAGGCCGCGGAAATAGAAGAAAGTAATAATGATTATAATAAGTATAGGGGTTGATACGGGACCTCGGCAGTGGACAAGGTGCTGGGGAGAGTGGTGACGGAGAGTGATGAAATTTTATTGAGCCGCGAGTCACGACAGGATTGTACCGGAATCGGACAGCCTGGCCTATATGGGCGAATAGGAGAAGGGGGATACGGCGCCAAGCTTCGTCGTCGTAATCTCAGGGGCGTCCAGATCAGTGCGCTCCTGACCATCGCCAGCTGTTAATTTTGTCACTTGGTGACATCTGCCTTCTAGGGGAGAAACCCGGTTCCAGCTTTCCAGCATCGTTAGTCCGCAGCCGACATATTATCATGCTGAGAGGGTCGATTTTTCCCTCTTACTCTAAGCGTGGTGCATTCGGATTTATATCTCGACGTCCACAGAAAAATCAATTGATTTGGGGAATAGAGATGATTTTCGCAAGCTGTGTCCCCATCGTTTAATGGAGAAGACTGATTAAATGGGATCATGGGACACAGAGCCTTAAAGCAATAGGACACCAATAACGAGGTGACTAGTGTCGTCAGTAAAAAGTATGAAAGTAATCATGCTCCTGCGTCGGGGTGCCAAGTGAAGTTCTTTCTTCATAGCACAACCCGCGGCGAGGACATCGAAGTGCAAGACTTCGACCTCGCTATAATACTCCTCTGCTTCATTCTCTACAGGCCGGCTGTACTTGACGTCCGATGATCGGTACCGGATGGAGCACGCTATTAGCTCACTGTTAGCCCCCTTCCCCTTCTATCAATTAGAGGTGCATCAAGGAAGGCTAGGAGCCGGCCAGGAAAGCGAAGGTTAGGACGGACGGCTCCAGTACCGATCCGACACGTGCATCGGATAACGATCTGTTGGGTTTGGGGCCTGCGTGATGCCGTGCTTCTCACACTAACAAGTCTACTTCGTATCATCGTATAGCAAGCAAACGGACCTAGCTCATCGCACCATGCAGTCAACCTCTGTGTAGCTGATGGCTTTAACTCCCAAAGTCGCGAAAACGGACGCCGCATCTTTACGAATTTGGTGTTCTAAGCTGCGAATATCCACTGCTTCACTTTCATGTCCACACAAGGAGTAGCTGGAAACTAAAGATTTATATGGTGAGACAATCAATGAAGAATATGATGTTGCCCTTCCCTAATAGTATGGCAGGGTTCACGTTGCAGGTCTCCCCCGAGGACAATATCGGGTACAAATAGCCATCTCAGCCAAAACCTCATCATAAGCGACCTAGCTGCGATTGATATCCCCGGACCAAGACCAGAATTATGAGGACATCCCCTTCCACGCGTGATCGGCATCTAAACAGCGTGTCAGTAAAGGGCATCCTCCCTACGGCGTCAAGGGGTTTACCTGGATGAATCACCGGTTCCGGAATGTAATCCCGGGATTTCTTCTTCTGCTCGCGATCGATACCAAACTTTGAATCTCTCTGCCGAAGGAGTTCGGCCTCGAGTTGTCCATCGGCCGTATAGCTAGCCATGAGCTCAGGCCGACCGATGGGTAGCTTGTCACCGCGATCGATTTGCCACAAATGGTAAGTCTTACCGTAGAGCTTGATCAACTGCTCCATTTCCTTGTTCTCGGTCGATTCCCAAGCGGCGTTCGGCATGCGAACCTGCGGCATAACCAACATTCCCGACTTGACTTCATAAACATGACTATGCCACAGTTTGCGCTCCTCCGGGTCCAGAGTTTCATATAGGGCGGGTGTGATCATATACTCGACGCCAATAATACGAGCTCCAGGTTCTGCACTGTCGTAGATGATACATTGCCGAATATCTTTTGATTTTTAGTTCTGTTCTTCCTTGGCGGAAATGAAATGATTAGCGAACACTACCTTCGTTCAAGTGGCCGCAATAATGGTTGGCTTCAACACCCCTTTTCGGTTCCGACGCATACGCGTGGAATGCGTTTAGATGACCACAAAGGTTGTTCACTGGCGCGAACTCCTATACAACAATTGTTAGTACACTGCCGGGTTTATCGAGCCTGTTGTGAACGGTCCTAGCGTACTTGAGCGGTTGAGTCGCCTCCAGGTTTAGCCTTGCCGGCAGTGTCTTTTGATATAGATTCCATGGTATCTTTCGATGTTGATTCCGTCGGATTGAAAGAACTCGGAATGGATGAGCCAAGATTAATTTCCTGGGTAGGGAAGAGGAAATATACGAGCGTTTTGCAAAAATCGTCATGATGCTTTCATGGAATTATTCACCTTGCGTGACAATGACCCTTAGTTTCAACACAGTTACGTCACTCGTCATTTCTAGTCGGATCGATTCGAAGCCAACATTGAGCCACCATTGGATGAAGGAGGGATAGTAGTGACACACTATGCAGGATCTCACCAAGTCCTACTAAAGCAAAACCTTACCCGTATCAGAGTTACCGATCCAGTTGCCCAACGCTGGAAGTAAAGTGAGATGACATGTACGGACCAGCCTGTCGCGAATCTCTCATCTGAAATGGAATCATAGCAAAATATACGGTCCAATGATACTATAACAATGACGTTGTAGAGAATCGCGGGGCGTCCGCGAATGACGGTCGTATATTTCCTAGTAGATAAAATGAAAACAAGCTTTGCAAATTCGAGGCGTATGTTGAATCGCCGGTTGTGTCGATGGCCGGACTGACTTTCAATGTCCCGTGCCCAAAAAGAAGAAGAAGAAGAAGAAGAAGAGAGAACAAAACTTCATCAATGGAATTTCCCGAAATCCCCACCGTTTGACCTTGGGCTCGGGGGCTGGGGGGTGCACCGATCAAATCTTCGCCCAGCGGAGGAGCATAGCCGCAACAATGACAGGAAGCACACTGACGAGCTCTCCAAGTCCAGCAAACTCAGGCGGAATCCTAGCTTTCACAAAGACGCCTGCAGCTAGAAGAACGGCAAAGAGGTTGTAAACAAAACTCCATGCAAAGTTGAACGCTATTCTGTGAATAGATATCTGGCTGATACGTATCATGGTGAGGATCCCGTCAAGGTTTGGACGCATGAGTACGACGTCGGCAGCGGACTGTGCGACATCGGTACCGCGCTCGTTGACATGAACACCGATGGTGGCCTGGGCGAGGGCGACGGCATCGTTTGTACCATCACCGCAGAACACGACCACTGGCTCGCGGGAGCGATCAATCTTTCCTGCTGTGGGCTTGGAAAGGAGGTACTGGATATAGGCTTGCTTTTCAGCGGGGGAGCATCGGGATCGAACGTTTGTTTCTGGGATTCCGAGCTCGTTCGCGACAGACTTGACGGCGCCGCTATCATCGCCGGAGAGCATGTGAACACTGATGCCTTTCCCGGCCAGCGAGGCGATGGTCGCAGCGGAATCTGATCGGATTGAATCTTGAAACCCAAAGATAGCCGCTAGCGAGTCGTCAATGGTAAAACAGAACGTAGTGTGGCCTTGTGCTTGCATGGATTGTATTTTAGGATCACAATCGACCCCGAGCCATCGGGCGTTACCTGCCCGAAGGACAATTCCCTGCATGGTCTTCCCTTGTACTCCTTTTCCAGGGAATGCCTTCACTTCAGACACCGGCGCGGCTGTGATATTGTTAGACTTGAGGTGTGCCGCGAGGGCTACAGATACCGGATGCTTGATATTTGTAACTAGGCCGAGGAGGAGTGCCTTTATCTGGGCGTCATCACTGACGAGATAATTTTCATCAGACACAGTTAGTTTACCCTCTGTCAAAGTTCCAGTTTTGTCAAAAACAACGTGAGATGTCTTGTAGGCTGATTCGATGGCTGATGAAGTCTTGAAGATGACGCCCCGTTCGGCGGCAACTCCGCTAGCAATCACCACGACCATAGGCACCGCGAGTCCAATAGCGCAGGGACATGAGACGATCAAAACAGTAATAGCATATGTGAGAGCCTTGATCGTGGCTTCGTTGCCAGGCAGCTGCTGCACCTTGATACCAACAGCTACCCAGATGGTCATGGTAATGGCGGCCAAGAAGACAACGACAGGAACGAAGTAAGACGCAACCTTATCTGCCATGTCCTGGATCTTTGGCTTCGAGAGTTTTGCATCATCGACTATTGAAGCGATCGTGCTGATGGTGTTGTCGCCAGGTAGTCTGGTCAGTCGGACCTCGAGCGCTCCAAAGCCATTGACGGAACCCGCGATCAGGGGAGACTTTGCCTGTTTTAAAATAGGCCTTGATTCACCGGTAATCATCGACTCATCTACCTCGGACACGCCGGAGAGAACTGTACCGTCAGTTGGAACTCTGCTGTCGGGCGCAACTCTAAAGACATCTCCATACTGGAGGAGTCGCGCGTCGATCTCCTTGTCACCTTGCTCTGTAACCAGCACGGCCCTGGACACCTGAAGCGACCGGATTGAGATGGATTCCACCGCCTTTTGGCGGCCCAGTGCACCTAGGTACCGACCGACCATGATCAAGGTGACGAGTAAAGTGCTGGTTTCGAAGAACTGACCAGTGGGTAAAGGGTGATGTGCAACCATGTAGCCAAACGACACGATAGAAAAGATATAAGCAGCACTCGTGCTCAAGACAATGAGCAGGTCCATCTCAATCACTCGCGAGAAGATGAGGCTCTTCAAGGCCTTGGGATAGAACGGACCGGCGATGATACATTGAACGATGGTGGCTAGGGCGAGCGAGGCTGAGCTGTATGCAATTTCATTCTGAGGCAGCGGAGCCCATGCCAATACCAAGACGGGAATAGTGAGCACAGCCGATAGAATCGTCATGTATGCCAAGTGGCGCACATGTTTCCCGCCGGCTTCAAGACTGGGATCACCTCGAGGGTCAGCGAGGCTAACGGGTCCATCAGGCCAACCATTCTGTGCAAGATCCCGCGCGCCAATCACCTTGGCATCGAAACAAACTTGGACGGTCTTTTTGTCTACCGCCGTCATGTCAATAACACCGCTGGGCCAAGGCCGGTTGATAAACGCAGACGGGTTGCCCTTGGGGGCGACAATATCGATGGTTGCGCCTTGGTTCTTGACTTTTTGGCATTTAAACTCGGTGGTACGCTCAAGATGTTTTATGACTTCACCTGAGACCGTCGTACCCGCAAGGTCAAATTCGGCGCGGGCAAGGACTAAGCTTGTCTTCAAATTTTTGACATCGGGGAGAGAAGCAAGAGTTCGAATGAGCTTTGTCTCGCATCCGGTGCATGTCATACCAGAGATACTCAGAATGACATGCTCCTTGAAGTCGCCCGAGGTGCCCTTTTCGGGATCCGTAGTCAGCCGTGCGATTCTAGTGTTAGTCCCCCATCCCCGTTGCTGCGGTGGAGATTCCTCACAGCACGACGCGGCACAGGAGTCTGCAATACTAGGGGCCTTTTCTAGCTTCGATTGAGGCACTGCGCAGCACGCCTTAACACATTGACTGCTGGGGGCTGACTTGGCTGGCCCGCGCAGACTACTTCTCGAGCCACGCTTCCTCTCCGTGGAAGAACGCGGCTCCCTGGGCGCACAGCACGACTCAAGTCCAAGTGCTACCAACGCACGGCAGATACATCCCAGGGCCTCCAGTTGATCGGCATAGGTCGAACGTGTCTTGCGGGAATGGTCGCTGCATGGCTTCCCTGTTGCGCCCCCATCGCAAGAGTTGACTGACGGCAAGCCAGAATCTAAAAGGGGAGTCAACATTGGCCGTGAGCCCTTAGAGAGCGGCAGGCTAGTATTACTTACCATGAATGGAGCCCTGTCTTTGGCATTCTCGGAGGGCCAGTCGGTCAAGACAAGCCGTGTCACAGCAGGGAGAAACCTTTCCCTGGCAACAGCTGGGGGCGGCCAAACCGGCGACATCCTTTTCTTTTCTCGGGTCCGGGGCGCAGCACCCCTTCTTTCCTGGAGAGCCAGCCGGGGGAGGCTCGCAACAATCATCGCCAGAGACAGGACTCGATGGTGGACGACCAGACGGAGTAGCTGGAGAGGGAACCTTTGCCGTACAGCATGCGTCCCGGCATCCGGAGGCAATTGGCTTATGAAGTGGTTCGTAGCGATCGGCCTTGCTTGCGGTTTCACTGTCAACATTGGCAGCATCTTCAGACTGACTGCAGCTGTCTTTGGAGATCTTGTTGCTCGCGCAGCAGTCACTCTTTTTGGCATCCTGGGTCCCGCAGCAGTCGTCTTGAATAGCATTCTCGTCCTCGCAGCAAGCGCTTTGGGTAGTACCGTTATTGCAGCAGTCGTTCTCCTCTACGTCCTTCGTCTGGCAACAGCCGCCACTCTTGATGACATCCTCGTCGACATCTGCGATGTGGCAGCTGTCGCCGTCAGACAGATTCTCAGCATTCCCCTCACTCCCCGCGGCGGGCGGGGGCCCACAGCATCCGGAACCGCAGGCCATGAGGAAGGAAGGACAGAGCAATCAATCAATATCAGGTAGAATAATAATAATTATTTGCAGCATACGAAGGTTCAGCTCAGTGATTTTGGCGTTAACACGCCAAAGATCTTCGAGAAAATTTTGGGGTTTCGTTTGATCCCCGCAAATAAGTTCTCTGAAGCTTTGGAGTTTCATCTCCAGTTCCACCAATGGCGTGCTTTCGGGACCAACCAGAGGCAGTCCCGGAACAGTAGCGGCTAGTTATGCACAACAACAATCCTTGCATTCGAGGTCCGCCTCATCGATCCATCACACTCTTGCCTGGCCGAGTTCTTATCAGTTATCGTGAGATGAGCTTCGCTATACTAAAGTGGGGAACCGGCCCCCTTCGGAGCGTCCTCGGCGGCACAGTCATCAATGATGTTACTAATCGATTCGTCGATTGGCTCTCCGCATTTGGCATCGAATGTGCGGAGCGGGAGGTGGAAATATTATAAAAGTGAGATGCCGCCAGACCCTAGAGAGGGGGAAGTAGGTTGCGTGGGCATGGGCAGTTTTACTCTTGTCAATAAACGTCCTCTTGTTGAGGGCCAATCTCTTCAAACGCAAGCTTTAGCCTAATAACGTGCCATAAATCCATCATGTCCACAACCCAAGTCACAACAATTGAGCTCACGGAGCTGCCGGATCCTGCCCACGATGGAAAATCCATTTCAACTGTTTTTCACCCACCATCTCTGCAAGCGGTCCACGCGGAGCCCACTGCCGGACGAACCATCGATCCTCCACGTGAATTTGGTCTTGCTCCGTTCCACGGAGTAAGCCGAACGAAGAGGGTCGTCGTGATTGGCCTCGTCATGTGTGTCAACTTTATTCAAGTCGGTCATGTCTCTCTCTTCGCTAGCTTATCCAAAGCCATCGTAAACTAACCATTGTTGAGCGTAGTTTATTTCCAACTTCACAACAGTAGCTGGAGGGTTTGATTTCAGCGAAAAGCTAGGCAGAGAGGCCGGGCCTGGCCAAGCCAATTGGCTCGCTGCAGCGTATTCGTACGTCCCTGTGATAATGTTCGAATGTCGGATGATCTGTATTGGCTGACATGATTGCCTGCTTAATGCAGCTTGACGCAGGGCGCATTCGTCTTGATCAGTGGAAGGTTCGGCACCATCTATGGCCACCAAACGACGCTCCTTATTGGAGGCGCCATCTTCACGCTCTTTTCTCTGGTAAATGCTTTTTGCGATAACCATATGGCATTCGTTGCCGCCAGAGCGTTGACAGGCGTGGGCGGTGGGATTTTAATGCCGAACGCCGTCGCCATCATCACCGTCATGATTCCTCCCGGCCATTGGAGAAACATTGCCATGGGTTGCTTCGGAGCATCGGCTCCAATTGGCGGCTTCTTTGGCGCTCTATTAACGGGTATCTTTCTTGAGAGAACGCATTGGAGATGGCTTTTCATTTTTCTGTGAGTGCCTGACATTTATTAATCCCAAGCCAACTTTTCCCTTCGCCGCGTCTTGAATTAACAGTCTACGCCTCTCCTTCAGCGCCGCATCTCAAGCCGTTACATTGGCCGGAATTTTCTTTTCTATGCCCAAAGACGAGCCTCTAGATAAGGGGGGAAAGATCGACTACGTGGGAGCAATTCTCGGCTTGGGAAGTCTGATCCTATTCAGCTTTGCGTGGAAGTAAGTGAGCCGTTCGAGAGATATCCGTACTCATGCTATCGTCACTAACAAGAAACTAGCCAAGCACCTTCATCGGGTTGGAAGGGGCCTGCTGAAATCACTTGTCTCATTGTGTCCATTCTCCTTTTCGGTTTATTCCTCATATGGGAGGGCAACTTCGCCAAGGAGCCCGTAATGCCGCTCTTCATCTTCAAGACGCCCAGCTTTTCGGCTCTGGTGCTCGTCGTTACGCTGAGTTACATGTCCTTCGCCATTTCGCAATGGTACACGATCACCTGGTTACAGACGCAGCGGCACTGGTCGGTGTTGGAAACTGCAGTTGGGTATACACCCTTCTTGGTCGTCGGCCCCCTTTCCGTCTTTCTCGCTGCCTGGCTCCTTCCACGACTTGCTGCGCAATGGATCATGGCAATGGGTATCGGCGTTCTCGTCGTGGCCAACATGCTCGTCGCCACGATGCCGGTGCAGCAGACTTACTGGGCGCAAGCATTCCCAGCGATCGTGCTGTCTTGTCTCAGTCCGGATTTCGTCTATGTTGCTGCTCAGCTTATTGTTAGTAACAGCGTTGGTCGGAAGTACCAAGGGGTTGCAGGAAGCCTCATCGGGACCCTTAATCTGTATGGAAACAGTCTTGGCATTGGAGTCTCGGGGACGATCGATGGCCAAATCTCCCGGAACACGCATGACCAGATTCGCGGCTTTCGGGCAGCCCTCTACTTTGGATTCGCCGTTGCCATCGTTGCCATTGCCCTTGATGTCCTTTTCGTCCGGGTGCCCAAGGATAACCGTGAAGGATGGGACTCGAGCGAAGAAGATAGTCTTATTATTGGGACCGGCCGTAGTATCGCCCCGGCCATTTCCTCCACCCACAGGCGGTAGACGGAGGGGCTGACTTTTTGAAGTTGATTTTATATTAGACGGGTTGGAAAGGTTATCTGCATGTCATGGGACTCATGGCTGAGAGAATCGCTCAGATACAAATAGAAGAGTGGAAGGAAATTCCAAAAAATTGGAGGATCGATGTCTGTGCCAGAGTGAATGAAAGTCGAAATAATTAGGACCGTGGCTCAGATAGATTCAAAATGCAGGAACATCTATTGTTGCCTTCCCAATCAAGAGACCGAACCGACAAAACTAAACCGTCCATTTTACATCAGTTATCTTTCAGCGAGATTGGCGACGCGACTCAGTATCCTCCGAGAAGCGCCGAGCCCGACTCGTCGGCCGGAGTAATTAGTAATGTTCTTGGACCGTATTCGTCGCATTCCCGCCCCGGTGTAAATTACTTCCCGAGCAGTACTGACGTCTTGTCCCTGTTGGAGAAAGCGGCGGTCAGACAGAGTTCTCCCGTGCCGCTTCGCACCCTGGTAAGCTTCGATGATCGCCGGGCTCACACGTTCAACTGTCAAGTGAGATTTCGCCAGGCACGCACGTAGTAATTTGAGGGCCCACTCCCTCATCGCCAACATTTCCCTCCAGGCAGTTATAGGAAAGTGTGGACGCACAAAGTTCGCCAGGAACGTCTAATCTGGTCTGCAAATTCAGTCTAGTACTTAATATCAGAGTGGCATTTCAGGGTTATGCAGATTCTATGTCACAATGCTGAGGAGCAGGGACCTAACCAATCAGGGACTGTTCTCTAGTGTTGATCAAAACAGACACGGACCCAACACATTCCCATAGGAAACCCGATGGTGAACAGCGGAAAAGTTCCAAGCTATTCCCTGTTAACTAAGTGGAACTTTTTAATGCCGAGTCTATGCTTGCTTTGTGAGCCCCAACAGCTATGGAACAGCGTGTACACTAAAGAGGCCAAGACGCGGGGCGACGCGGTTGTGGCGCACAGTTCGGGATCATCGGCAAGCGACTCGCCAGCGAACTCTGACGAAGCAGTGGCTGGGATGGCTTGACTTGAAAGCCAAATACGATATTTACGAGTGAATAGTTCGCACAACCGACGTAAACGAAGTGACCCTGATAATAACTTACAAATCTTCGCGAGGTCAATCTTGGGTCGCGACGACATAGGACTGATGCCAACATCTCTGCATCGCGGACAAACCCAACTCTGCCAAGCCACAAGCCCACGACATACTTCCACGCGTACGCGATGCCCATCCTACTTCTCAGAAAAATTCAATGAATCGACTATGCGTCGAGATGCCATGCCCCAAGCATCTGCCTAGATTACAGGGTTGGATTGGCGTCTTAGTTTTCTTAAGGAAAGATCATCTCTGTAGATGAGGACCTCAGGTTCGGTTATAAATCTAATACCAAGTCTCCCTATCTCGCCCATCTAGTCTAGTAATTCCGTTAATCAAGCCGCCTCGTCTCAAACATCCTCCTGTCCCAGTTCTTGCGGCTCCTTGTGTATTCAGTAATTTTCCTTTCGCCAAAGAATCAGGATGAAGCCCGTCACATCGGTTGCGGTCCTTGGTGCCCTCCTGGGCCTAAGTGTGGAATCGGTGGATGCAGCGAGACCATTCCACTGCCCTCCTCTCGGCCAGACGCTCCCAGCGCCCAAGAACCCTAGCTCGAATCGTATTGTGTCTGAAGCTGTTCAGAAAATCACGGAACTGTTCCACGGATATGTCTCAGGATACAATAACAGCGCCGCCTCGCTGACGATAAAGTCAATCCACGAAGATGTACCTCTTCTCGACATCCACCATACCCCCGGAATTCGAGGTCAAAATGGAACGACAAACGTCACGTCCAAGACAGTGTATAGGGTTGGAAGTGTGTCTAAACTGTTCGCACCGCTCGCCATCCTGCGCGAGGCTGGTGTTGACATCAATGACCCAGTTACCAAGTACCTCCCGGAGCTGATGAATCTTCAAGACCAGCAAGAAGACGTTAACGAGCTCACAACCATCTCCTGGGACAATGTCACTCTCTTGAGTCTCAGCAATCATATGGGCGGTTTCGCTTATGACAGTAAGTGCTGGCCGTACGTTCCTGGCCCCTATCCAAGACTTGAGAGTAACCGATGAGTAGTGGCCCAGGACATCGCGAACTTTGGCGTAGACGTAGCGTCTCTTGGACTGCCTGTCTTAGGTAATGACTCCATCCCTGGGTGCTCAGGTTTCGGAGACAGCACTCCCTGCACGAAAGATGGTAGGTTCACTTCTCTATAAATCGCATCTGTGATGAATACTAATAACAAGAGCAGACCTCCTAGCCAAGTATGGCAAGCATAGGCCAACTTGGGCGCCTTTCACCACACCCATGTACTCGAACGTCGGTTTTCCGATACTCAGCTTTGTTGTGGAGAAAGTGACCAATAAAACCTTCGCTTCCCACATTAAAGACACAATCCTCAACCCACTTGGCATGAACAGCACGTCGCCCGGAGAGAAACCCGAGGGCGACAACGTAGACTCTACCCTGGCCGAGGATCCCTGGTGGTCTTTTGATTTCGGTGTCTATAACCCGTAAGTCACTAGCTTCTTCTCCGCAAAATTTTGAGAAAGCAGCGCTAATCCTATCGTAGTGCTGGTGGCTTTTATTCTAATACTGAAGACTTGATCAAGTTCGGCGAGGCTATCCTCAACCACGAGCTGCTCAGCGGCGTCGAGACCCGAAAGTGGATGAAGCCAACCGAGCACACCGCTTCACTTGGAATGTCCGTGGGAAATCCCTGGGAGATTATACGCGTCAAGAACTTGACTTCAGACGGTCGTGTCATCGACTTGTACACAAAGTCCGGCGATATCGGCCCCTACCATGCCATCTTTGCTCTCATCCCTGACTATGACATCGTCCTCACCTTTCTCACTGGAGGGCCGGAGGCCAGCAGCGAAGTCGTGTTTTTCGGAACTCCGAAGATTGTGGAGGCCCTCATTCCGGCCCTTGATTACGCTGCTAAGGCTGAAGCAGGGGAGAGGCTTGTTGGTCAATACGTTGATGAGGAGACCAACTCTACCATCACTCTCTCCGTCGACGATGGCGCCGGTCTTGTTGTCTCTAATTGGGTTTCTCGCGGTGTCAGCGTTGTCGAAAATTACGGCAAGTACCTTGGTATCGATAAAGCCGTGGAGATCAACGCTCCCATCAGCATCCGCCTGTACACCACCCGCCTCTCGGCCGAAAACCAGTCGGGTTGGCGTGCCGTCTTCTACATCGGAGATGCTGGGGATTTTGCTGCCGTCGATGCCAGCCTTCCCTTCATCCCACAGATAAGTTGCCAGACTTGGTTCATGTTTGAACGGGTTAGCTATGGCTTTAATTCGATTGACGATTTTGTTGTTACTCTCGGTGATGACGGTACTGCTGAGGAGGTCACTTCGAGATTCTTCCAGACCACAATGACTTTGGTCTCAAGGGATTCCCAGGAGAACATTGAAAATTGAGAGACGCGGAAAGGGTAGAAGACTTGGATGTGATCCTACTGTAGTCGTTAATAATTGATACCCTTGCACTTCACAATAGACTAGACTATAATGTGTACTGAGCATGCATCAATGATTCAAGACCATAACTCTGCAATATTGTCTCTCCTGGTTAATGATAGTTATTCGTGAGCACTCGAGCATCTTGGTTCGTATGGTTTCTATTCAAGACCACATCCAAAAAAAAAGTGAGGTTTTTAACTTTTAAAATCCCCATTGGCCACACCAATGTTTCATCAGATCCGGGGTGACGGGCCCCATGTTCCTCATCGTCTTGCTGCATCTTGTCGTCCTCGACGTATCCATGTCTACATGGCGCTGCTCGGCAGTGCCTTCTCCGCGCATTCTCCGATACGAGTCAAGGAGCTTGACGGCAGGATTCTTGGTAACATCTTCTGATTTCTCCTGGCTCTTCTCCAATGCATCGATCCATTCCGAGAACGGTACGAGTCTCTTGATTCGATCACCATAAAATTCTTTGACGGCCGGCGCGAGGCTGCCCCATTTTGTGACCGAAGGATTGACGCCATGGAAGTATCCATTCGCTTCCTTAAGTGGCACTGGCTTATTGATTCCTGACAGTTCAAGAATCATATTCGCAATGCCTTCGATAGGCGTCCAATCGACGGTATCCATGGTGCCCAAGTCCTTGGGCAGCATCCCTAGGTAAGCGGAGCTCGCAATGATGGAAGGAAGCCACTCGTGCTTGTTCCACATTCCCTCATTAGACTCCGGACCTCCAATCTGGCCGACACGAATCACCTCGGTGGGAATTCCAGATTTCTCCGTCGCCTTCTCTAGCAGAAGACTACTGACATGCTTGGACATTCCGTACCCGGTTGAGCTGATAGAGAAGTCCTTGATGGACTTCTCCGGCCCCGGATAGGGCTCTTTCCACCCATCCACAGAGCCAATGGAAGAGATAAACGTAATCAAGACCTGCTTGCGTGCCTTGGCACTCAAGTCCACGAGGTGACGCACTCCTCGTATATGCGGCTCGAAGGATTCTACCGGCATGTTGAAGTTGACGGGCCACTGGTTGTGGATTATGCGGTCAACGGAATCCCGGATCCGATCATAGTCCTTGGCGCGCAACCCAAGATCAGATCGACCCATGTCTGCGCGCAGGAAATCGACCTTGTCAAAGTTCGTCGATAGTCCACGGACCGAACTCACTTCCGTCTGTCTCTCACGGTCATTTTCCGCACGATTTAGGCAAATGACCCGCTTCACGTTAGGGCAGCGACACATGTAGTCCAGCAAGTAGGATCCCAGGGCGCCGGTGGAGCCAGTGAGCAAGATTGTCTGGTGGTTGTTTTCCGGCGGAGGTTTCCCGGTAGTCATCGGAGGTAGGTCTCTGGTATACTTGTCGAGTAGCGCTTGCATAGCATTGGCCTCGTGCTCTAGCTTCCGCTCCTCGTTTTGACCACTGCTAACCAAGGAATACAGGTATCGGCCAAGTTTTCGGGGTGTCGGGTTCCCATAGATGACACGGGTTGCAACCGCCGCGGCCGCAACATTAATACCAGCGGCCTTGAATGCAGATCGAAGCAATCGGGAGGCATAGATGACTTGCATCGAGTCGACACCGGCCTGGAAGAAGTCGGTATCAGGCTTGAGTAACATCGAGCCCGTATTGAACAGCTCGATCAAAGAGCGGGTCAAGGCATCTTCGGAGCTGAGATCAATCTTAACACCTTCGACAGGAACATTCTGCCCAGCCTTGTCATAAATCACATCAATTTCGTCTTTGTACAACTTCAACGTGTCGGGTCTTCGAATGCTGCCCTTTTCCGTTCTCATAAAGGGCTTCTTCGGATTAGATAAGGCGACGAATTGACGGCCGATTTGGCCATGTGCAACAGTTTCGAGGTTAGCCTTCACGACCGATGGCCAGACCGAGTCGATCAACTCCTTAGCTTCTGCACCCGTCCGCGGGAATTTTCGAGGCTCAATGATCAGGGCAGGTTGAAACTTGTTTGTCCCAACGACGATGGCTCCTTTGACGTCCGGATGGCCCATGACGATGCCTTCGATGCTAACGGGGTTGAGCTTCTCGCCGTTGGAAAAGACAATAATGTCATCGGCACGGCCCTGGTACAGCCAGGTGTCCGGAAGAGTCGGATGTTTCTTGTACAAGTCCTTGGTGCTGTATTCCTGCAGCTCGGGGAATGTGTAAAAGAACCCTTGTAAGCCCGGATCCTTGCTCTTACGAACGATGACCTGCTCGAAAACGTTTGGGTTTGACGAGGTCGGGCGCCATTCGCAGCCGAATATCTCGGAGTTGACGATGAACCAATGCCACATCTTTGGGTCTGGCTGCTTATAAATTGGGAACGGAGTGAACCTGTATTTGAGTTGTTAGTAGCCGAGTACTAGCGGCTCTGTAGCGAATGAACATTAACTCTGTGGCGGATATCAAGTTCTCCAACCTGACCCCGTTTTGGACAAGCTTATCACCAGGCTCTTGGGCAAGATTTCCTAACCTTGGGTTAGTGCTACCGAGAACGGAATCATCCCGCGTTGTCACTCACCACCAACAAGAGCCACCATCTTGGCCTTGGCGAGTGCTTTGGTGCTCTCTGCTGATTGACTGATCTCCTCAAGAATGATAGGCGGGAGCAGAACAGCATCGGCCTTGGAAGCTGCAAGACATTCCAGAACAGTATCCGGTGTGAGAGGTTTCGTGGGTACTGGGAACGCAACCAACTTGTCCCAATACAATGTAGAGATCAAAGTTACGTATAACCCGGCCGCGTGGAATAAAGGCACTTGATTCCCTCGTGTTAGCCTCTATTCATAAGACAATTTGAGGTTTGCCATGCACTTACTCGGAACATAGAATAGGTTGCAGACATCCGACCAAGCTTGCAACCACATCCTCGTTCCATTCCACTCTGGCAGTTCATGGCACGCATCGCTAATCGCAAGCATTCCCTGACGACAAATGATGGGCTTAGGGAGTCCCGTACTCCCGCTCATGTGAAGGATGACGAAGGGATCCCACCTGCCCTCATCAAAGTTCCTCTTGTACGGGAAAACTGGGATATCCTCGCTTGGGAACCATTGATCTACCGAGGTAGCCATGATGGCTTTCATGTCTCGTTCTTGTAGCCACGGCTGAACTGTTGCTTTGAAGCCAACGTCGAAGCAGATGACATTGCAGTTTGTTTTCTCGAACAAATTCATCTGTCCCTCATGCGAATTCCTAGGTGGGATGAACAACGCCTATAATCACGGTGTTAGCTCTCCCACTATTTAGAAGGGCCATAAGGAAGTCATAAGGAGGTAGCCAGACCTGGCATCCAGCCTTGATGGCTCCAAACATGAATATGATGTAGCGAATATCATTTGGCCCAATATACGCGATGGTGGGGAACTCTCCGGGTTGCGGCTGACCAGCCATGTCCAAAACCCTGTGAGCGACGCGATTAATCGCCTTGGCGCCCCCTCCATACGTTATATTCTTCCATCCATCCTTGGGATCGGACGTCCGAGGAACCAGGATCCACGGTCGGTTCGGCTCCTTGGAGGCCCGTTCCTCAATGATGTTCATCATGAGCCGACGCCCATATGCGGGCTTGTGCGCTCGGGTTGTAGGCATTGTAACGAAGTCAAATCTTTGGAATAATATCTGTCACTTGGGGGCTTCTGTGCTATTGTGGGAGAGAAATGGAGCCTGGGAACTATGAGATATCAATATGGCTTGTTGACGGCAAGATTGCTGGAATCTGCGCATGGCAAGAGCGCCTGGTTTCTACTCGGACTCTGACGGGGGCATCGAGAGGCCTTTCATGAATCACGTCAGGTTACCCGGAATGCATGACACGATTGACTTCATCTCTCGCTTGAAGCCAATGCCGTGTAGGTTTGGAGATAATGCTTGATGACGTTGCAAGTCGGGGCTCTCTCGAACTCAAAGCCGGGGTTGAAGACGAGAGCGAGGGCCGAGGGGGTCGATCGAGAGACCGAGGGCCCTCCCGTTGTATTGACAGCTCAGGTGATAATATCTTCCGCACTACCGGCGGGATGAGGACATTGGAATACTAAACTTCGCACAAGGGCATGGTCGGCGCCAACGATAACGAGCAGCGATTAATTATGAGTATTATTCTTCCTGTAGTTCGCGGCCGGGAAGTGGCTATTCCCCGACTTCCAAAAAATACAAACCTGCCAGTAAAGCCTATTTCCGATACATGAAAACGTTAAAAGATGCCGATCAATGTAACAAATGTAACAACCTGACGTTATTCAAACAGGACGTCCTCCTCAACCAAGTTGCATCAGAGGTCGTGATAGGTACCGTCCCTCATCACCCCCATATTCCATAGCCCATCACATATCCATATCCCATTATCCTGCTTGAATAATGACTCCGGGATGGTCCGGAAACGCGTGTTAGGCCAAAACCGGTGCCAGAGGTCTCCTATGCGCATGAAGATGGACGGTGACTTCTCGGCCACTGTCATCTCGGGCCTACCTCTGATGCCCTTCTCGTCGAAGCAAGCGGCAACCCTCTGCCAGCTATTGCTGTCCTTAAGGTTCCGTATAGCTATAGCCTCATCGGTGACGGCGTGCTTTATCGCGTCTACTTGGGTATGTTCTCTGGCCCACGCGGTGCCATCGCCCCTGGCATCGTCCTCGTCAAAGTCGAATTTTTCCCTCCCCCTAAAGTTCACAAAGGTCGGTCTCTGTTTGTCCCTCAACAGCAGAAGGGAAATGGCCATATCTTCGCCGGTAACAAGATGGAACTTGTCCTGTAGCCTGGCCAGGAGTTCGACCATGTCCCAGGTCAATGTGTACATGGAATGATGCGGGTACACTAGATCGGATTTTTTATCATAGAATAGCTCTCCTATAACAGTCTGCTTGACGGTGGCCTTCGCGGGACCATCCCATTTGGATATCCTAGGGGCCAAGAACCTGTCGTAAAACCCGCGGGCATTGAGCCAAATATCGGCGTCGAGCTTCGTGACAAACTCGTATCTTCGACCGCTGCCAAGGAGCCATTTGTAGAATTCGAAGGTCTTGATCGTATGCGCCGTGACGTCGTCGTCAGGTATCTTGTCGAGGATGACAATATCGCCGAAGGTTCGATTCTCGTAGATGATGCTCTCTTTCCATTTCGGCTCGGGATTGGCAATGATGAACATGGTATCGTAGGGGACGTTACGGTACAAGCGCATCCAGGTGGAGCGGATCAGCATTCGGTGGTCAACCTCGTCGGCGGTACTGAGGATGGCAGCAAGCCATGGTCGCTCGATGTCGGTTTGATTTTCGGGCGCTTGGAGCGGCGAGTCGGGGAAGGGTTCGAGGGGGTATTCGGGTTTCGGGGCCTCGTGGATCTTTTTACCGTGGACGACGATGGGCGGCGTCGCTAGGAGTTGCTGGGGATTATGGCGGACATAGGTACTCTGGATGAGGAGATGGACGGACAGACCGAAGACGAGGAGGGCAGCGACAATGAGCAGGCGAGTAAAAGTCCTCGGGAGAGGCCATTTGAATGCTACCATCATCGCACGAAGTCGGGGAGCATCGTAGGGAGAGGGAGGGATAAAAAGAATGGCTCAGAATTAAAAACGAGAGGGGGAGAAGAAAAAGAAAAGAAAAAAGAAGCAAAAATGGAAAAGAGAATTAATGAAAGACTGAAAGACGTTGGGGATTGGAGAAAAGCGAAAATTATCAGAAGGAGATCGGATAGCCAATGTGACAATCCATGCTCCTTGGCCAAGCATTAAGTCGCGCCTTCCTGACTAAATAAAAGAAGGATCAATTCAAGTCCAAGTGTCCTTCTCCTTCCGTGTCTAAATTGAGGCTGGACCGTCCAACATGTGGGCTACATTTACCTCCATTTACCCGCTTCGTGTTCCCGCCACAGTGGTCATTACTCTTCTCCTCTTTCGTCGATCAAAAAGGATTTAAAAAAGTAGTATGAAAAAGGGCGAAAGGGGAGAGGCCGAATCACGTGGGTCCGAGGACGAGAGCTTGAGGCACCGCGGACGAGCTTCTCCAAGTCGGCATCGGCAAGCTGAGCCAAGAACAACAAGCAAACACGAAAGATTCCGAAGTTACCAACTACACTGCCATGGGCGAAGAGAGCAGGGAGGGGAGGATGGACCTGAATCCTTCGCTTGGCTGCAGGGAGGTGCGGTCTGGGCAAGGTCGTACAGCCACCAACGGATGGCGTGGTGTGAGAGGAAAGGGGTAATGAAAAGATTTGGTCTTCGAGCCAACCAGCATCCGCCAAGAAAAGCCCGTCGGGAACTTGTGAGATGAACATCTTAATATGACCGGCCCAATCGGCGTCGGGCTTGGGATGACAGCGGAGAAGGAGCCCCACCAGCAAGGCACAGAACTATGGCAGACGGCACTCAGGAGTAGGCCAGCCACTGGCAGGAGCTAGCAACTGCTCGCCAGTGCATCGCATTAGTGAGCTCGTGTCCTTCGTGTTGAGGGGGTTTCCACCTCTCGCGTGGTACAGACTAACCCCAAGACAGTCAAGGCCGCCATAGAATAGCGAGGATGTCAGAGGCGCATCAAGCCAGACGGATGCATAGTCGCTGCTAATCTAATATTTATTGGACGAATCTAACAGCTGATTTCATGGGCGGAACGCTGTGTGAAATTGGGGGCGGAAAATTCTTTCGTGGGCAGATACCGAATTCCCAGGCTTCTTGGTTTCAGCCTGAAATTCCAGGGGTCAATTATTCTAACGCTGTTTGCTACTCCAGTGATCAACCACAGATCGGTCTACTATCATTGCCTCTCTGCTGTCATTGCCTCAGCCAACCTAGTAGACTAGGCGCTATCCCTTTTATCCAAGACCAACGACGCGAGCTCGCTGATAGCGGTGGTCTGAGGAACCGGGCGGAAGCCGAAGTAGGCCTCTTGGCTCTTCTCAAGTTTGATACATTGTTGAGCAAGTCGCAACCACCGATGTAGGGACGGAGAAAGGTCACTCGCAATCTTTTCGAAGTCGAATTCCATTTCGTCGGGATGATGTCTCCCATGGTGACCAAATCGTCGATTCCACGGGAATGGTTTGTTCATACATTCTTGCCGAAGGGCGGAAGAGCTTCGTGAGTCCTCATTAACAAGTAAATTACAAACGTTTCTCTCGCTTCTACACATGCCGACGCCAGCCATCCCTCCTTAGCGGGACCTTCCCCAGTCAAAGGTATCTCGGAGCTTCGATGAGTGATGTGAAGTTCGTAGCGGACTTTAGTCGGCTCAGTGCCGGGCCTAGCTAGAGCGAAGTCGCGGGGCTGGTTATGTCGGGTTGATGTGTGGGGATTTAGTCGGTTAAGCGGTGCCTCGGGGTTTAGTTGGATGCAAATGAGGAACATCAATATGAATTGATCATCTGGCGCTCCCGATGCTACGAGACATATGCTTCTCCCTCCGAGAACTCGCCGAATGCTCTAGTGGCCTTCCGCTCCACGTTCAGTCACGGGATGGTCGTCAACTAGCTGAGCTCCGAAGTGCGTTGTAGCGCTAAATGCAAAGATTGGATGAGTGAGATCTAGGGTCTTAGAGAAAGGAGGGGTTCGAGTTAGGTTGGACACGGGACGGCATATTGATTGGTTACTGTGCATTTCGTATCCAAAAATGAATCGATGAGTCCTCTACTCGCTGTAAGCTGCATGTCGATCACACAAGGTAACCCTGTAAGTACTGCCTTCCTGTGAGTTCATCCACACTTAAGACTGGCAAGAAACACCGCTCCAAGCGCCGCCATGGAAAGGCTGATAGCCAAGGACCTAGGCGCAACCAGAAATTAAAGTCTCACATCCCCCCCGATCCCCTAGAACCTTAACTTGATGACGAGGTCGAGGTTGAAATGCAGCTTGAGGCCCTGATACACCTGTGGAGAGTCTCCGAGAAGCGCGGGGCCCCGCTGGTGGAGGAGCAGGACTATAAATACTGCAATTCGGCTGGGGAGGATATCATCGTTGTGTTTCAAGCGACACAAACTTTTATGTCATCCTGAAAGAAGTCTTGGGCTACTAGCCCCCATGAATTGAATGTACCATTATGACATGACAGACAATGTTAAATCTTCCCAAGTCCATTACCCTCAGCGTGTGTCAATGGAACGTGCCGAGCTAAGACATGTGGCACCAAGCAGAGACAATATCGGATGGCAATGGAGAATATGACCCAACTGACAGCTGGGGCCACTAACATCAATTGATCTTCTTCATGTCCGCAACTCGTCCAAGATAGCTGGAACTATAATTGCGACTGCGTGGAAAAGAACACTTAGTGATTGGCATACGGCAAGTGGGAAGTCTAGAATCCGCGCGCTTCTCAGATGTGTCGATATGCTAAAGATGGCGATCCGGAAGAAGTAGTAAAAGAGAAGAAAAGGCTTTTCAATAATGCCCCCCATAAGAGCCACAGGCTGTGCGAAGTTCTTGGGGCCGCCTTGGATAAACTGGATGAACCCCCGTTGCATGATCTCGAGGCTCTTGACTAGAACTTAAGTGGTAAGCTTGTGTGTCGCATTTCTGTTCGTTTGGGGACTGGAAATGGTGGGTGTGAAACTCAATACCTTCTGAAGCGAAAAGGTGGTAGAGGCAATGAGCGAGGATATTGAGAGTCGCGCTGTGCCTTTTCCGTTTCCAGTGAAAGGCCTCCAGCTGCTTAAGGACAAGTGCGCTATCACGAAGATCTGGGACAATGTCCACCCGAAGAAGGTCAGCGAGAAGAATGGCATCCTTGATCGCAACAGTCATCCCAGACCCCGTCATCGGGTGGCGCATGTTCGCGCAGTCGCCAAGCATGACGAGCCCTGACACACGAGTCCTCCTCGCTGGCATCCAGGAATTGGCCATGCTGCGGAGACGACCATTATTGACGGCAACTCGAAGATTGTCCTGAATCTCGGCTGGAAGAGTGGGCAGGACTCGTTCCAGGATGTATGACTTGACCGCCGACTGGTCTCCCAAATGGGCAAAGTCTCTGTTAAAGATATCAATCAAGATACGTGTCTCCCTGTTCCCAAGCTGGTAAAGTAATAGCGGAGGGCCCGAGCCCAAGACGCTGTGGGCGTAGTCCCGAAGGGGAAGCTGGGCATCTAAGAGTTCAAGGCCCCAAAATCTGGAGTTCGCCTTGGGTTTGTAAGGCGAGAATTGACTGCGAAAGTTGGAATACCGGCCATCCGCAAGAACGACCAGGTCTCCGAAATACTATTCCTCGGGGGTGCGGTCGAGATCAGTACCCTCCGTTCTCGTGCAGAAACATCATCATCAGCACCTGGGGAATGGAGGTGTCAAACCTTTTGAACCAAGTCACCATTACCCTTTGAACACTTGATCCCAATCACGCGTCCCGTTGGATCATCACGCAGTATTTCGCATGCCGTAGCCTCTATCAAAGTAACTGTTGGGTCTTCGCGAATCGCACTCCGAAGGTTGGCGACCAATCGACCATGGTGAAAGCTCCTCCCAGTCTCTACTTCCGAGCCATTTGCGATAGCGGGAGAGCAGAACCAAAACGTTGCTTGTTCATGCTTCCAGTATAGATGAAATCCTTTGACAGGTGTGGCTTCAATTCCCTCCAAGCAGTCCTCCAAACCAAGATCCTTCAGGCCACACACGCCACCGGGCTGGAGGAGCTCACCAGAAATGCGGTCTGGTTGCTCGAGACTGCGCTCTAAAATGAGAATGCGGCGGCCCTGTCGGGCAAGGGCTCGCGCCAGGGTGCAGCCCGCAATACCCGCTCCCACAATAACAATGTCGAAATTTGCGTCGGCCATCGCATGGTGTGTGACTTTGCTTCGAAAATAACCCAATGGAAACGAAATTTGCGGAGGGGAGGCCCAGAAGAGCTGCTGGGAAATGCCCGGATAAACAGCGCACCAAAACAGCAATAAGATCAATTTGATTGAATGCTAAAGCAGGCCCTGCAGCCGCTGAAACAACCAGGCGCCAACTGCGCCAATCATTTGCAGCCAACCACGCCCAAACCGACATCTCAGGTTCTCAGTGCTTGACCTGGATATGCAAGGGTCAAATTCCATTGAACTCTCTTTTTTTTCCTCCCCTGTCTGGCTCTTAAACTAGGTGTTTCCCGTCTCTTTTGAATCTTTGATACCTAATATCTAGTCTTCCCCGCGGATAAGCTGCAATGGACGTTCTACGCTAACACCAACTCTCTCGACACGATGTCATCCGACAAAATCGGATGGGCACCGTCCCCCGACGGTAGAGGAACGATCGACATCCTGTGGACGAATATCCTCGCCCTCTTCGTCTGTGTTTGGACCGTGCTACACCACAATGTCCAAGCCAAAGGCGACAGTGAATGGACAGTCATTCTTCGAAAATCTCGGTGGGCAGCGCTGGCTGTTTGCGCACCCGAGGTCCTGACCTTGTTCGCCATCATGCAGTGGAATGCGGCCAACCTCTCTGTCGCTGAGATGCATCGTCTTGGGTATCTAGGCTGGACCAGGGTCCACGCCTTCTATGCCAACGCCGGTGGCTTCATCCTCCAAGCTCCCGATTTTCCTCCGTTTCCAATCAACGCGACCTCGATACACTACCTGTGCGTGAAGGGACTTATCAAGCCTCCCTCTATCTCTAAAGGCGAGATCTGGGATAGAAGCAAGGCGGACCGCTTCGCGAAAGGAGTGGCATTCCTACAGGCCGGTTGGCTTCTTGTTCATATCATCGCCCGGAAGGCCCAACATCTTCCTATAACTCCTTTAGAGGTGTTTACTGCTGCGTTCATTATCCCAACCTTAGCAACAGCATATTTCTGGTCCAGCAAGCCCCAAAACGTAGCCGAACCCACTGTCATCAGGGTCGATTGGACGATATCCGAACTTCTCCTTGGCGCTGGAGATGCTGCGAAGGAGCCTTATTGCGACACACCGATGGACTTCGTCGAGAAACCCGTATGGCAGGGTTGGAGTAGGCTCCCATCCCTTCGTCATTTTGGTGGACTTGAGAAGCGACCCTTAGTCCGGATACCGAACGATTACTCCCCTCCTCCGCCGACCGGTAAAGAGGCAACAATTGTATGGGTTGTCTCGGTCGTTCACGCCATGATCCATCTGACTAGTTGGTCATACGAGTTCCCTACCAATACGGAACGCATCATCTGGCGGATCAGCAGCGTCACTCTGCTAGTAGTAATGGTCATTGGGGGTCTGGTGCCCGTAATTTCCACGCGGCCGTGGTTCGACTTCAGTTTTAACCTCCTCTGGATTTGGTCACTCGAGGCAAAGAAAAAGACATGGGCGAGGAAATGGCTGTTCAGAGTAGTGGCGGACACGGCATACGTTACTTATACTATTGCTCGTATTATGATCTTTGTTGAAATGTTCATGGCACTAAGGGCAACGCCGGTCGATGCTTACAAGGATGTGGATTGGTCATCGTTTTGGCCACACGTATGATTGGAGTACATAAGACCATTTTACGGATTGTATCTCAACTCCTTCATACCGCCGCGAGAAAAAGGTTTCTTACGATTGGGTTTCTTCGAATGCTAGACTCCCAACTTGAGGATCTAGGCCGGAGACTATTAGGTCTGTATGGAATAATTATTAGTGTTGTTCTCAATTTTGTTTTCCGTCGCGATCTCGTCTTCACTCGATTCGGGCAAAATCTCCCCGAGCTGCCTTCCTGGTGCTTATTCGTTCTGCAAGAAGAATGGAGTGACATGGTTAACTATTGTTCTATTGAACGTGACGTGATCTGACCTCAGAAGTTCTAGGGGGGTCTCGAAGACAGCAGTCAGTCATAGAGACAACAGTAACAAATAATTGAACGACACTTTTATGTTCTCTTAGCCTGGGAACACACGAAGGGAGGGAATAAGAAGAAGCCAGGGCTAGCACTCACGGCAATGCGCATATTAAGTAGAACGCCTTGTCCGCAATCAAGGGAGGTAGAGACTTGTTAGAGTGCCTCTCAGCATAACTCATATCGGGGATATAGTAATACACGATCACGGCAATTATAAACAGAAGGATGATGATATCTAGGAGGACGACAAAGGCTGGACGAAATTGGGGCAGTCGGCGGCGACGATCAGCCAGTGCTATCACCTGAAGCATGTTAAGCACGGTCGGGCAGATAACCTATTAGAGGATGGTTAGCTACCTCTTGCGCGACTGCATTTTTTTCCCCTTTTCTATAGCGACATCAAAGTACACTTACAGCGGCATAATAGAGGCCAGCGGTATAGTTCTTCGCGGTGCTGATATATATGAGGAAGCCGAGAATACCGAGCTCGAAGAGCAGGGAGATCGCCCTGGAGCCGAGATGAATATATGCCAAGAATCCGGCGGATTGTGAACGCAGCATTGTGCTGTCTCGAACTGCGTCGTTGGGGGGTTGACGGAGTGCTCGCGACGGCCAGATCATGCATCACTATGATCAAGTTCATGCCTAATCGAGGAAGGAATGATTATTTTGTATTCACGGACCACTCATATCTTGCTCGAGAACCTGAGAGGAGAAAGATCGAATAGATTACAATGCGTGGCATTGGGGAATTGGGGAATTATTACGGGCAACAGGGAAACCCCCTTGAAATTGGTGGATATGCAAGGCAATGCCAGCTGCTGGTGATGATGACTGATGTCCTCTATGACGAGTTTAACGGCAGCTTTTGCCATTTTCCATCACTGCCACAGTGCCACCGAACGAATATATTATCCAGGACCCAATTTCGGCTGGAGGAAGCAAGCTCGTAAATTGCGCCACAAAATCTCACTGGCCGATATTAACGGATCCTCGGATAGGTTGCATGCAGCATCATCGCCAACCGATTGGTTTAGGCAGAAACCAAGAACCAGCGCGCATGATCCGTATCTAACACGAGCGGCGGGAATGGTATGGTCGGGATAGTTTCCCAGCCAAAGTCACCAACACGACCCCATTTGAGAAGATGGCCCGTATTCTGTATTAGTGAAAATTCGTTCGAAGTTGCTCAGGCACATCTCGAGTAAGTGGTTTTTACCGTTGCGAAGGGAATATTAGACTGAAGTGTATAAGTGTTCCTAAGCTAGCTTCTCTTGACGCGTTTAATGGTCAAAGGTAATTCTCCAGTAGGACTAGCCATTCATGGTCGTTCCAAGAGGCGATCCTCAAACCATGGGAGCAGCTCCTGTTGGTTCCCTTTACAGCTGGCCTAGTGGTCCCAAACTCTCTTCAGCTGGGTTTTCTTATTTCTGGTGCTTTTCATTCCTTTTCTTTTTTTTTTTTTTTTTTTTTTTTTTTTTTTCTCTCTTTCCTGATTTCGTATCCGCTGACTTCTAGGCTCGTTTTGCAAAAGATCCCGGTTAGTACGACCGGACTGCCAATGCCCTGCCCCGGCTCCGGAAGGTTATCGCCGCAGACATTGAGAAAGCGAGCACTATTTTTCCACTGCGCTGGGCGGGGTAACTCAGCGCAACAAGGCCTGCGTCGAAAATCTATCGAGCAACCACAACATGTAGGAGGGTGAGTCGTGGTGTGTGTGTGTAAGCTTGCGCCGAATGTGGGAGCCCGGAGAAAGAGACGGACCCGTTATTCAAGAGATCGCGGGTGCTACAGCCCAGCTCGCCCAAGCCGACGCTTTTGCAAAGATGAATAGCTCGGCGTTATTACTAACCGTAAGCGGGGCGGGCGATGGGTAGATGGTATCGGCCACAAAGGAAGCTGACCATTCAAGAATGACAGCCTTTGCCATGTAGATTAGTGACCAGATTCAACTCAGATTCAGTCCTAGTTATGCACATCAAGTCCAACTCGTTCGCCTTGTTGGGTAAAGTATAGTTTTTTGCTGGCAGACCACGATGTCGACGACCCAAGCCCATCAGGTAAGCTTTACCTACTTCGCATCAGAACACGGTCTCTTCCCAGGGGGAGGCATTGTGGGGCCAGGAGAAGGACAATTTAGAGTTCAACGTAAGAATCAAAATCAGGATCATCCTCAATCCAATCATCTGCTTCATCTTTAAGATACAGGCCATCCCATATCCCAATATACTCGACAGGTCCTTACCGGAGGCTATGCTGTGCAAAAGAAGCTAGAGTCGAATCTCTAATTATGAGAAATTGGCAAGAATATGTTTCCAAGCACCCACCTCCGAGGTGAACATTCGAGTAGTTCCGGTGCCGGCCATACAACCGGACACCACGTCCACTTCAACACCGTCTCCGTATTAAGTCAACATTCATTTTTAGTCCTATTCTCACATTGGCATCAGATGGGCGATACTCGAATTACCTTGGAGCAAGCCTTTGAACCACAAGATTGATAACTTGTCATACATATGAAATGGAATGATGCAAGACCTCAACCTGATATTTCTATTTTCTGACGACTGGGTTGACAATGCCGCACAGTCCAATCTTCCCAGCTCCTGTGGTCCTTTTCTGAAATCGTAACTCGAGTTCTACTTCTCTTCTGTTTTCTGGCGTGGCACTGGGGGAGGCTGAGGTTGTGAAGGTCGGTCGGGTCGAGGTTTGACAATTGTGAGTGAAAGATTTTGTTCGTCGAAACGACCCCAATATTTTCGCCCATATATATAGCGAGGTTCCATTTTGTGGGTTAAGCTCGCGGCTGTGGATGTTGAAAGGGCCTTGGGCTGAAACGTATTCGTTGATGCGACTTATTAGCAGAAGTTCTCCCCCGGTACCACTCCGGCCAACATATCTACCACCTCGACAGATCCGGAGTTAGCGTACTTGCATCTTTTAGAAAGAAATCAATTCGACACGCTGGCTCGCCTCCTCCGAAAATATACACTCGATTAGAAGAGCTATATAGAGATATTTCCTGCACGCTATCCTAGGCTCGACTGGCCAAAGTGTTGATAATAAATAATATGGGTATATTCTCGAAAAGTCTTGGGGATAGTCTCATCTCAGTTTTCTATGGCTTAGAGATTTAAATGTTCTTTAATAGCATATTACAATCCTAACACTAGCTTAATAATAATATTAGATAGATATAACTAGTAGTAAAGATTTATATCACCTCGCCCTATTCAGAGGTCCCTTTCTTGGGTGTTCTGGTGTTATTCCCATTGATCAACGGATCCGACATCTGTCCATTCCTGCTGGAGTACTGCAGCTGCTTCTGCAGGAAAACATTACTGACCATTGACTACTGACTACACCTATTTCCTTTTGTGTATGTGGTGAGCGGGTAGTGCTACACTACCCCGTTTCAATATATTATTATAAAATATATATTTATGAAATCGTATGTATATAAGCGGGCGACCCTTACTATCAACAGATTTGAACAAATTATATAGGATTAAAAATTCGCTGACTTTGGCTGACGATCCCGGCCAATGAATTTGGGTGTCATCCAAGTCCACCTTGTGACTTGGCGAAATTTGCATACGTTTCTTCGCCTCTGGACGATCCGTTAAGGTGGAAGTCCTATATATGTGTGCTTGGTGAGGGCATTTTCTAGGCGCAATGTCAATCTAGTACCGCACACCGCTGGTTTCGCCGAAGTAATGTCTATCATTCCCAGAATGCAATCATTGAAATCAATATCTATCAAATGCAAAAAAGGGGAAAAGTAGACGAGTCCAGGGCGCTAATAACTCATTCCTATCTGGTGATTGGAGGCTTAAGATGGGATGCCAGGGGTGGCTTTTCAGCCCCAGGCAGCACTCACACCTGCTTCGCCCACGGACCAGTTCTTTTAACCAATTCCCTTCACTGTCAGCCTTACCCGCGGTGGGGTAACAAATTGATCTTTTTGATGTCGTTCAACCCCAACCCTGCCAGCACTGGAAACGACTAAAAGTATTTCCTCCCTTCCTAAACCTTCTGATTATCTCTATTGCTCGTTTCTCTCTGCCCATCCTCCCCTTCGCTCCTTCGTACACCCGTGAGCATTTTCTCCCATAAGACTCGACATGAGAGACAGGATTGTCTACGACTGGGTGATGATATTCTTGATATGGGGTTGGCAGTTGTATGTGCCATCAACCGTCCGTTCTAAACCGACATTTACTAACGCCCCAATACAGCTATAAACTGCTCTACACCGCCTCAGCCCTCTGCATCATCTGGCTTTTCCTCTCGCTGACTCCCACCCTCTGGAACCCAACCAACTGGCTCTCCTGTCTCATGTTTGGCCTCCAAGCGGCGTCCGAGTTCAGCTACATGCCCGACCTCGACCTCATCGAAAGTCTTCACAATAGTGATGTCTCCGGGCGCTGTCTGTCTTTTGCCGAGAAAGAAAACGCCACCGCCGGTCCCGTAGACGTCGTCTCGGGGTTCTATGGTCCCGGTACGTATCTTGCGTGGTTGGTGACTGCTTATGTGGCAGCATTCTCCTCGATATGGCACTCCAAATGCGCGCCGAGTGAGGAACGGAGAGAAAGAGACGCGGCGGGTGAGGGTTCGGAGTACTTTTCTCTGCCCTGGTGGGGCAGTCAAGAGTCGGCAGATGCGCTGGATGCGGAGATGGCCATGGCGCTGCTGTACCCACTGATGGCGCTGGGTGATGTCTTTATCAGGTTGGTACGATGTAAAATTGATCCACAGATGAGCGCCGCGGTGTTCGTGCTATTTTCGGCGTTGATGATCTTTGGACCAACGTCGAGGCTGTCGTGGCAGAAGGATGGGGTGGAACCTGAGCTGGAAATCTTTCCGAGGACGAAGCGAAGTTGGGCGTGGAAATTCTCGGGGTTCTTGATCCATGGATTTGTTATCACGCTTATTGGGGAGCCGTATGCGTACACCGTGGAGTTGGTGATCCCGGTGTATGTCATGTTGCTTGTACTGACTTTCTTTTCTCTGATCCGCGGGGAGAGGCTGAGTGAGACATATCCATACCGGACGACGGCTTATTGGTCTCGGGTTGTGAGGATTGTCGTCTTCACCATGATGCAGATCATTTTCTTCTCGGTTGCGCTGGGGAAGATCGGATCCCTGGTACCGTTGACGGGGTCGTCATTGTGGGATTTCGACCAAATCGCGACTTTGGGAATGGCAATCGTGACGTTGATGTTCTTCAGAACGCAGAGTGTCGGGTCCTTGGTTTCAAGCATACGCCACAGGCTAGCAGGATTTAGACTACTCAATGGTCCGGAGACTGGTAGCCACACGGAGCTTACGGATATTGTTATTCGAGACACCGAGCAATAGTCAATACGGAGGCGCCTACACATCTGCCTAAACAACACGGCGGTTGCGGACGGACTTTTAACGGGCAACCTCCCGAATCATTGCAGAGTATATTCCCACAATTTCAGGAAAGTGCACATGGATAGGGCCTTGGCCTTTCAGTTGAAATGGGCACCAGATCGGCTGGCACCCTTGGCTCGAACGGTAGCATCCATGGCAGAGGCCCCGGCAGAACCGTTGCCAAAATTGACAATTGTCTTTCCGACAAGGGCGACCTTAGGAAAGGTTATCCGGAGTTTGCTGAGAGCGTCGTTGGCCAAGAGACAGATGACAACAAAATTGTCCTTGGCTACAGCAGTGGTGATATCGGTTTCGAAGGTGGCACCAGCGGCAACTGCCGGTCTTGGGTGCGATTCCAGGCCGCGACACACAAACTTTGGCACATGTCTGGGCAAGCGCGGCGCCCATGTTTCCGAGTCCGAGGAATGTGAGACTAGGCATTTTGAAACGAATAGGGGGTGGGTGGAGGCCCGGAAGATGGAAAGTTGACGCCTGAGGTTTGATTATCTGTGCAGATGCTGGTGTCTCTACAGGCGGGATGTCTACAGGAACCGGCCAGGCCGGCCCATTTATAGAAACGGCGGTATGATCTGGCTGCCTTCATCCGTGTTCTTGCTCTTGTCTCGATTCAGGCAATGACTCGGGACGTGAGACGAACAGTACGGGAACTTCCGGGCCCGTGAGCTGAATCCAGCGCTTAGCACGATCTGTAAATAAGGCTGTAAAGTACTTCAGCTCTCGCATTCTCCGCATACTAACTCGAAGTGCTCCCAGCTAAGCTATCCATCGCTCTGTTCTCATGTCAAAAAACCATCCCAGGCTAGACCCGCCCCTAGGTACCTTGCTTGCGATGACTCTTCGGACATGGGTCCCTAGACCAAGATGAAGAGTGGCCACTCCAGAACATGGCTCTTAAGCGCGTAAACCACCGAGGCCTATTTTCCAGTTCCACTTCGCATGGAATATGTATGTAAAGTATGTAATTCCCTTCCATAAGTCTCCTGCGACGCGTATTTTCAGTCACTTCTTTTCGAGAGCGATTCTGAGCTGTTCATTAGCAGCCTTAACCTCGGCCGTCATCTGGTCTCCGAAATCATCGGGCCCAGCAACTTGACGAACTTCGAGGATGCTCCCTTCGGTGAACGGGGCTTTCTGCGCCCACGATATAGCCTCCTGCAGATCCTTGGCCTCCCAAATCCAGTAGCCGGATACCAGCGAGTCGTAGGCGAAGGGTCCCTTGGTGACGACACTGGCGCCGGCGCTGTGGAAGGCGATCCGAGCGCCTTTGGTAGAGTTGAGAAGACCGTTTCCGTCGATAAGCATGCCGGCATCGACAAGGGTTTTGTTGTATTCTGCCATCTTGAGCAGCATGTCGGTCTTGGGACGGGCTCCGCTTTCGCCTTCCTCGGTAGCGCGGACTTGGATCATGAACTTCGGCATGGTGGTCAAGGGTTTCAGTGAAAATATGCGAGACGGGGTTCGTTTTTCTTAGTGTTGATACGTGTTGAGAAGATGAGATTAAGATTGTGGATGGGTAGATGATGGACTTCAACTGTCCCGGGAGCCGGCTCTAGCTCGATTTATGTATTCGGAACAGCGTGATGAAATTAAGACCGGCAAATGCCGGTCACGCAAGACTCTCGCTGGGATGATTTATGATCGGAAGAATTATCTGCCCGCAAACCACTCTGTATCCATGTCGCCTCGAAATCGGATTACTGAAAATGAAGTTGAGTGACTCCCTCCAGCTTTAGCCGCTGCCTAAAAGCACGAACCTTCGCAATACTCTCAGTTGTCGATTTCGTCATCCCCCGAGTTACAGAGCGAATAGTGGCACCCTTAGTATTTCGATTCGGTCCGTGTTCACTAATCCGTCCCGCGACTCGAGTTGGCTCGAAGAGCACAACTCGGTAACTACATGGGACGAAATCTCGTGCACTACGAATTTCCTCACAAATTCGTTAGGAATATCCAAATGTTACTCATAGCCAGTACTAAGCTGGAACGAAACACTCTCTTTCGAAGGGGTCCTGTTCTGTGCCGAGATTCTAGATTGGACCCAGGAAAGATGACGGCTTCAAAGAGAGGGTATCAAGCGAGTGAGGAGGAAGAGTCACAGAACGCAAGCCACTCCAGAACTTCGGTAGCAAAACGAGCCCGGACGGAATCTATCCTTAGTGGATCTTCAGAAGTTAGTCCTATGGCGTTAGATCAAACGGAAATGGGTGCCGATGCGGAAGAGGAGTGGGAGGACGTTAGTGATATTGATGGCGCGGATGAAGACAATATGGCAATTCTCAGTTCTGAAACCGAGGAGGAGGTTGAATCTAACTACGACGAAGACGATCTATCAGATGTGCAGGGCCACGGCGAAAGAATCTGTCTCTGCAAGAACTGCGAAGTTGAATGGGACAGTGACATAATGAGGGTGGCGTTTGGACTCCTTGTGTCCCCGGCAGGAGAACCCAATAAGTTTCGGCGAGTAGGAGTCTTTGCGTCCTCCCCTATTGGAGCAGGAGGTTTGGGATTCTTCAAATCGCTGGGCGGGCAGTCCGTAGTATTGATATAATTACTTATTTTCTCCTGAACGAGTCGAGGAGCAGACCCCGACGCTCGGTCTTAATGCTACCCAATTACTCTGCCGCTTTAACCGCTTTATTACAGGATGTCAGGTTCCAACAACTGGCACTCCTCTCCGAGGAACTCTTGGCTGCACAGATGTGATTATAACGGTGCGAATTATGCTGCATCTACACATGGTACTTCGAATGATTTTGGATTTCCTCGGATGCATTGCTCTGTCTGTGTGTGTATCTTCTCGCAGCATTTGGTCAATGGTCACCAGACCGTGCGTGCGACCAACCATAACTTGCAGGCGGCTTAGCAACTTGTGGTGTATGAGACACTTCGCGACCAAAAACAGAGCAGCTGAATCAGGCACCTGCGGGCTCCATCGGTGTGCAGCCCATGGTATGAGGTGAACACCGCCTCCCATTTCATCTACTTAACGACAATGACGCCGTCAGCCTTGATGTCGAGCAAGAACCATTTCCATCCCCATCGACATACCATTTGAACTCCATCTCCACTGCCATGGCTGATCACTACGCCCTCCCGAATCCACCTCCCAGCATCATTCCCCGCAGGGTGCTCGACCCTTCCCGTCGAGAGTTTGATCTCGGCTGGCCCGATGATGATTCCGACTTTGAAGAGCGCCCACAACGATCAGCAGAAGCACTTGTGCCGTATCACTCAAGTGCGAGACAAACTGGGAGTCAAGGAGATCCTTCTTTCGGCATAATCCCAATTGGAAGTCATACCAGCGGGATCACATGGACGAATGACACTAGCTCGACGGGAAATGGCCAACAGCATCTGCCCCTTTACTACTCCACCAAGCGCAGCAACAGACAACGGAACACGCAAAGACGTTCCGAGAGTAGACACGGAACTAGTGGTAGTTATTCGCGAACTTTCAACTCTGATACGGGTATGACTGCCAACTTTGAGTTTCAATTTTTTGTTTTCTTCTCAGGCGAGCTGAACAAAGAGGTGTCATCACAGCAAACGCTCACGCGATCAAATCAGCACGGTACCCGGCGCTTTACGAGATGCTGAAAACGCCGCCAGCCGCCAGAAAAGCGCTGAAAAACTGGAAGAAAGAGGGAAAACAAGCCGCGCTTGAGGAGGCTTCCACTAGTACTCCCGCGTTGGAAGGCGTTCACGACCGGCCGCTCATCCAAGACGGCCAGGTAGCGGCCGATGAAAATTCCGGCTCACAGAACACCGAAGCTCAGAATACCGCCGACGGCAGCCGCCCTCAGGAATCGGCCCCTGTTCGCAATAGCAGCGAGCCCCGGACGGACTCCGGTGACCAAATGGAGGCAGCTCCCCCATCCGCCGCTCTTTCGACCAGCATGGTGGTCCGCGGGGACATGCTCGCCAGTAGTTTGCCCCCACAATACATGACCTTCTCTGAGCCCCTGCTCGAAAAGACGCGGCGCGGGAAGCGCCTTATTATAACTTGCAACCTCGCAAAATCCTATCCAAACTTCCACATCGAGTGCAATTACGTCTACATCGACCAGCACGAGCGGGTCAATCTTAGCCAGACAGACACGCGTATCTCGTTCGCGATCGTCTCAACGAAGGAAAACATTTGGACTGTGGCGATGGAGCAAAAAGGCTATAATGAAGACTTTATCAAAGGGCTTATAGGGGACGCAGAGTACGCTAGGCTGGAGGGGGAGGCTAGCGGGCCAGTAAAGGGACATAGCAAATCATACGGCTCCTCCGTCGTCGCGAAGGTGGCTAAGAAGGTCACGATACCTGAGGGATTTGACCTGGGCGGCATTTGGTGTAAAGCGGGCGGGTTTTACGAAATGAGGATCTTTGTTCCGGAAAAGAATTCTAGGGATAACAACACGGACTGGTGATGTAGCTTATATCTGAATCTGTGTTTTGAATTAGTAAGAGCATCTACGGAGGTATAGACAGGCTCTTCGACTATTGGTGATAGTGATATTAAAAAAAAGAAAAGATAAAAAGGCAATGCGAGTATCTAACACATTCCCACCCTGCGAGCGATTAATCCCCTACTGTTCTCCGCCTCGACACCGGCAGCATAGACACCGGTACAAGTTGGTTATTATCCTGCCTCCCGTCTACTTTTCCTAGTAGGAGCGAAGCAAGCTCGATAAGAGGCCCAATAAGCATCGCCATGGCCAGAATCTGGCCAAAAGTCCATTCATCAAGCCCCGGAGCGAGCGCATTCCGTCTAATCATCAACTCGAGCATCACAGCCAAATATATCGTGCCAACCAGGTAACTAACAAGCTGATACGGCGACTGCCTCTTAGCATTACTCCCTTCGTGACCACCCCGTCCCGCAAAAACTCCACGCATCTCCCGACCAAATAGAGCATCTATGCAGATGCAGGTCACCATAAGCAACCAGCAGATGAGAATCAGGAGCAAGATCGAAAGCGCACCGACTAGCATCCAGCGCAAAACCGGGCTCGTAGCCGAGATATCCACGCCGAAAAGCACATAGACGGTCCTATCGTTGCACTCGGCATGATCACCAAACGTCGGCGCGGTAGCAAAAACATAAATCAGATACACGAGCGACCCCGTAGTCACCCGGGCGTAGAAAGCCATGAGGACAACTCCGCGCACGACGCCGGCCGGATACCTTCCGCGAGGCCGGGCGGAAAGACCCACGATACCGAGCAGGTGGAAGACACACAGCGCGTGGAAAAGACTGAGCGATTGGCGCGCCGTTGTGACGACGGTCGTTAAGAAAATGGCGAGCCCCGTGACGCCGAGGGATGACTCGATGGCTCTAGGTCCCTTATAAAGGACCGAGAGGTTTTGCGGACAGGATTTTGCTCTCTACACAAATGGCTAGAGGATTCCGGTGTAGAAAAATGAGACGGAGAATAGAATTCAAAAATAGTACTGATGCGAAATGGAAGGTTGAAACAGATGCCACTCACTCGTTACCTGGGCGAAGGCGAGATTCGCTGCCCGACGAGGCCTAACTGGAGGGAGTTCATGGATTGAGAACACGTCAGTGACAATCACCAAGCTCGCTTCAGCAAATTAAACGACACAAAATTGGTGAGCCGGTAGGGCCTGATCTGGCAGAGATGCATACTGAGCAGGCAAAGATAATTTATGTTTGAGAAAGATATGAAAACTCGGGTCTATAACTGCCTCGGTGTGCGGCCAACAGATCTCTTTATCCAAACGAACGAAGTCTGGCGGAGGCTGAAACTCCCTCTAGTCACTCTCACACCGAATTTCTTCCAAGCAAACGTATGACGCTCCCATTTCCTCACTTCGTCGATTCCTTAATATCGCCGACGACCACAACCTTCATCCGGGCCCGGTCCCAAAACCCAGATTCATCTGCCTCAATTCTTGCATTGGCCTCATCCGTCATCAATGCGTCATAAAACCTATGAAATGCAGCCTCGTCCTCGAAGGACATGTGCACGATCGCGTCGTAGTACATCTCGTCGGCGTTGCCTGCTAACAGGCGGGGCTTGTCTTCTGGGCCGCCATGTTGTAGGTAATACCTAGTGTGACTGAGTGGCATTGCGTCGCCAGATATCTCGGCGATCATTTTCATGTGTCGCTCGTAGCGGGCTTTGAATTCCTCGTGTGACACGCCAGGTTTGCGCGGCGCGAAGATCATGAGACTGTAAACCATGATAACTATGGGAGTATCTGACCACAGGTGAGAAACGGATGGGCTTTCGCAGGCTCGGCCCTCTCGGGAAAGGGGAAGAGAAAGGGACTTTGTTTGCAAAGGCCGCGATGTATGTAGTAGAGATTCAGGCGTCAAAGAGTGCTGAAGATATTACCCCTTGATTTCCGTCTCGATTCGAGGGAGGATGTAGTTTTTCTAGTCATAGTTGGGAAGAGGGAAGAAGCTAAGAGACCCCCCCGTTCTTCTGGTCGACTCTCCTTCATCTTTAAATACACGGGTTTCCCGCATTTCCCAGGCGCATCCCGAGCTTTCCCGCACTTTCTCGCGTCTTCCGTAAGCTTCTATGTGGGTTGTGAGATTCCTGGGATCTGACGTCAGATGAGGATAGCGAGCGTTTGGGGGCAGGATTCTAACAAGGGGGTACGAAGAACATGCCCTGTTTGTGAGTAGTCTAGCTTCGTGAGATTAACCGCGATCAAGATCATCTACGATTAAGTTTTCCGTAATCATAGTATGGTAGATTCCCTTCATCGAAACTTCGAATTGTCTCTCTCTGGTCCTAGGGTAGGTAGGTAACATCGCGGATCATTTGACGCTGCCTAAATGTACCCTGCGGCGCAGTATATTGCTCCCTGCACTAAGCGGCAACAGGGCCTCTCTCAATAATACCTTGTAAGTTCCCGCGCCCCATCAAGCTCTTCGATCACTGCGATCATAGGGATTGATCTTCGTTCCTACCGCCGATCGCTTTTGGTTCTGGTACATGGAGATTTGAAGGATTAAATGACAAAATTATATAATCCGAAGTTCCCTAAGCCCGCCGATCCAGTGCCCCAGAAACTTCTCCGCCATCGAGAAGAGCTTGGGGGGAGGCCGGATACTCTAGCGTGCGTGACTTAATGCAACGTCCAGCCCCGTCCTTCGCGTCCGGCAATTCAGACATGGAAGGTCCTGGATTGCGTCGACCGATATCCTCAGAAGAATCTAGCCCGACAACTCCTGGCTTGAGAGAAGTGCGAATAACGATTTTGTCCTGCAAATATGCTAGGGTGCAAACCAGTGCCGAATCGCAAAACCTAGCTTTGCTGACGTGAAACTGGTGGTCAATAACCTCGACAATGGTAGTTACCCTTTTCACCTCCATGGGCATCAATTCCAAGCTATCTACCGTTCCCCTAAGAATAGCAGCAAATTAGATAAGTCTATGGTCGCTAAAATAGGTTGGCCTAAGCAACCGATAAGGCGAGATACCTTAGTATGGCCGAACGGCAGCATGCCTCTGGAACTTCGGGATATGATATTGCTCCCTAAAACCCATTTGGAGGCTTATACAGCTAGCAGGATCCCGGTTTCTGGAAACGCTGCTGGGAACGCCCATAATTTTCTTGACTTGACCGGACAGCATAAGCCTCCACCTCCGCCTTCCTAAACGGGTATGTGTTAGAGTCTGACTCCAGCTTCGGAAAACTACTAACACCACCTTAGTTTCACAGCAGGCGGCGTCTTTGCTTTTATTTTCAGTTATGTCATGAGTATTGCCGGTGTTGGGATTGTGCCAGATTATATGTAGTCTTGTATTGATTACGATGCGTTTCACTGCGGAGCCAAGTCCTCCTCGGAGGCTCCGGGAGGGATATACGGGTCTGTTAGGACAGCTGTGGGTCCAAAATCTGTTTCAGTATTGCTTCTGGCATATTGACTTTATTTTCTTTCTTCTTTTACTTACGCTCGGTTATCGGCGTTTGGTCGCTACCGTCGATACGATGCCGTCTCCTAAGACGTGGGCCGTTAGGCCGCCACGAAATGTGTCTCCCAGAGTCGAAGGGTCAGTTTATTCACTCCTCAGCATAATCCACAGAACTCACCATCTACAAATTCACTACATTCATCTGATCCTTTGAGAGCTTCATCGTCGAGGGGCTTCTCTAGCGTCTCATGAACCAACGAAGGCCAATTCTAGGCTGACTCCCATTCGATACTTCTTAGAAGAAAGTCAAATACGTCCTTTCCCATGATGCAAGCGGCCTAGGTGGCAGGTCTATATGAAACTGAAACCGCCTAGGCAACTATCCCATCCGCGCTCGATTTCCGAATTCTCTCGCATCTCTTTCGTGTCGATACTCTCCTCGATTTGACGTCATTGGAGTCGAGGGTCGCCTCGAACGGGGTAAATATGGTTATGACATTTCTTCTAAACACGGCGGGCCGGTTCATTTTCCCTGTCGGCGATCAGGGCAGCGGTCGATGTCTCCGCAATTTTAGTCTCAATTTGAGCCGAGAACCTAGCATCGCTAACTCAGCGCACTGGGAAATCCCTGTGTGTGTGTGTCAAAGCACAGTAGGGAAGTTCATTCATTCCATACTAATTAAAATCTTTTTTAATATTAGTACGCTTGCAGTACTCGTAGGTTGTCCAAGTTAATTTGCAGAGTATATATCGTCGTCATCTTCCGTAGAACTAGAAAGAGCAGGTTGATGCGGACTGGTATCGATTTGCAAATTTTCCGGCTCCGAACCTGACTGTGGATAATTTGTCTATCGGCGCTGTTAGTAGCGTCCCCACCGACACCGACACTTAGAGATCTCAACCTACCGTACTGATCGATTTTGGTCCTTATGGTGCCGAGGAGTTCCTTGCGATCAGCCATGTCATGCCGTACTGACCCGTTTAGGTGGTCTTTTTCGTTCACCTCCATGCATGTTCGATCCAGCACCTTCAGGCTGTCTTCCAGTTCACCAATCTCATCTTGAGCGACCAGAAGGATACGAACATGGAGCTCGTCAAACCGGCGAAGAGGTAAGCGATCAGGATCACCGGCCAGGAAACGCGAAGATTAAGCGTGTCCGATATATTTCCAAAACGAGGTGAGATGTGTACCCTCAAATAGTTCTTTGAAGGCTCCTGCGGATAGCTTGTGTTGCCTCTGCCTATATGTCAATCGATAAACCTGCCCGCCAGCTCACCCTGGCCCTATTCCACACCTGGCCCTAAAGAAAGACTGAAGCTTTGTGAAGCCCCAGTTCGTGAAGTCTGGTACCTCACGAGCATAACACGACGACCAAATGCAGAATCCGAAACAAGACACAGCGAGAACGCCATTCCGTTAGGTTAAGGCCAGCTTCCACGAGTGTCCCTTTCCCAGGGCATCGCCTGCGAAGAATGAATCGATGTTATTGAATACCTCTAAAACGTCCCCCATTAATGCTGGGAAGCTGGTAACTAGGCCGGTGGGCGTTTTACAAGATCAAATGTGAAGGCTTGCTGGTCTCTTCATAGGTCCACATTTCCATCATCATCGATCCCCAGAATCCTTTAGTTTACTGTCTATAAAGACTCGCCCCCCCCCTTTTTTTTTTTTTTTTTTTTTTTTTTTTTTTTTTAGGTCTTGGTTAGATAATTCCTGGCGAGAGAGAGGTACGAATGATGAATTTGTATGCAAATATAGTAGGGCGTAGCCCAGTGCCACATTGTAAAACCTACGACGTGCGGCGGTCTAAGTCTAGGGCAATAGTTTACAAACACAATTACACGAAGATCTTGGAACATATCTCACATGGTAGCCTACATGTCGTAATAAATCCCCCCTCCTGCTTTTATTGACGTATCCCGGCTAACTATCGATGATGGAAGCTCTAACCTATTTTGCGGTTCGAAGTCCATGCCGAATTCCTCGTTCCGAAGTCAACTTCAGTTATCAGACTCGCTCGCAGTCGATAACGCTAGTTAGTTCGTCACGTACTCGCCGTAAGGAATCGCGTCGTTCTTCTCCGTCTACTGAGCCAATGCTTCGGGGTGGTTCATAGGTGGAACCATCCCATTGATCCTCCAATTGTGTGCGGGGTGTTCATATATGTTGTATTCCCACTTGATTCCCTTGGGCCTAAGGATGGGCCCAACGATGGTGTTAATGCGGTCGATGAAACGGAGACGCTCCTCCTCTGACTTCCAGCCACGAGCGGCATGATCAATGACGAAGAAGATGGCATTGGGTGGGGACTGTCCACCAGAGTAGAAGCAGCCAACGGGATTCTCATGGAAGAAGACATTGACCCAGAACGCAGGGATGCCGGCTTCGGTGTACGCTTCTGTGACGGCCTTCGCAATTGCGTCTTTCTCGTCTCTGGACAGAGTTCCCGGGATGAGTTCAAAGGTCCATCGAGGCATTTTGAAGTAGTGATGACTGGCTCTGTTCAGATGGCTTGCGTAATAGATTAAGTTTGGAAATAGCCTGGTGGTATTGGAATAAGCTGGATCGTTTTAAGACAGGATGTTGTCCCAGCTGCGGGAGTTCCAGGTCTCTTTATAGAACAGGACAAATCAACTTCCTACGAGCAACAAAATGTCTACATCACCGCGGTAGATACCTCGGTCTTAAGAAGATTAATTATTAGACCCCTCGGACCTTCAGTAATATTATCTAGGAATCTGGCAACCGAGACTCTTTCGCTAATGTCAACGAGGAGGAGCTAAATGCAGTTGGTCCGAGTCAACCCCGCAGTGTTCCGTCACCATTTCTGACCAATGTCCACCTCTATTTTCTTAATCATGTGCACCTCAACTAATGCATACACTGCGCGGAGCGGTTGTCCGTTGCCTTTGTCTACTTACACCCCCTCATCACCTCGGTAGGTACTATTTTGGGCCTGGCGTTACCCGACACGCAGCCCACCTCGCAGTCTTCCACCTCAGATGCACGGCGCCCCGCCTGCTCGAGACAAGCTGTGGATTGATATCGAAGGAGTAGAAATAGGGTGACGGAGTAGAGAATGGCCTTCATCGGCCCAGTAGACCTCGGCTGTGGGTAAAGAGATTGACCTCCAAGGTAATTGAGCATCAAAGAGAAGTGGTCACTGTAGTTTTGATGTATACTCTACCTTGCGTTGGATTTTAGAGGCTTTGAAGAATGGTTAATCTGTGGAGATGCTATCGCGAGCTAAAACTACCATGATCCAGCATTCATAAAAGTAAACTAGATGTGCGACGCAGCCTCCGTCTTTGC